TTTATTATATTTTGCCCTTCGTGTAGATGAGCTGTGACGTTTGATTTCTACAAGTAGAATAGATTTAGACGGCACGGTGTATAACTTAAATGAATTTCAGGAGAAAAACAGCACAAAATGAAAGAAATACTATCTTTTATATTAAATGTAATAGTAATTATTAAAGTACTAATATGTTGGCTGATTTCGTCCAATTTTCCAAAATTTTAACATTAAATAGTTTAAAAATCATTAGAGATAGAAAGCTAAAATTTTACACAGTTTCGTTTCTCAGGGGTATCAACAAATCCTGCCAGTTTAAAAAAAATCGGTGACTATAACCGTAATTCTACGATTTGACATGGAATGGCTCAAACGCGAAGCTACAAAAGTTGGAATATCGCGAAGATTGTTCAAGCGGTCTGCTTTGTGCTCTACGGTAAAAGGTGTTCGCGAGCAGGTAAAGCATTCTTACTGAAAACGGCTCTACCTGACCCACCTGGCTTTCACGCTGCATTTTCGGCCCAATGGCATGGTTTCTCTCCATATACATACATCCGTATAAAGGGAACTAGCTACTCAAAGCACCAAATCTCTGGTTGCTAAGAGAAAACTTGCCTCATTCATAGTTTTAACTTGACAATTACGTTCACGTTACAATTATACATTTGTATGTGTACAACTACTATGTTTAATATGTATGTGTGACCGAAGTATCTAAAGTAATAGAAAAGGACGCCTTTAGACCAACCGTACTTATTTGGTTGGTCAATGAGTTATCTTCAAAGAAAATTTGAAGAAACGTCGCACAAGCCGACTGCCGCCATTGAAAGAACTCCTTCAAATCGCAGCTTATGAACCCAATATCGAGGGCTTTCGAGGACGCTTAGATATTGCGTATCGACTGTGAATATGGAAGTGCTTTCTTCCAATGAATGATATATCTTGGGTTTGAAGAATCTTTTTTAGGTTATATTTAATGCTTGCAAGGCACACGATCCGCAAATCTATATATAGTTTTAGTTTTTGAATTATATTAAAATAATTTTCAATTGAATCGGCCAGTCTGTCTGAAATTTTAGATAATAGGAAACACGCGACATAGCTGCTTCTTTACTGACCATCCAGCTCACCACGCGCTATCCGTGTAAAAAAAACAACTTCATTCTATAAACGCGAAAAAGTATAAATTTTAACTTCTTGTAGGAATGACTCTACCTCCAAATTTTATTGCAACGTATATCAAATTCAGTTAACACTTGACACTTTAAACTTAGCAGAAAATCCGTATGAATTTTCAATATTTGTTTCCATACTAGTAAAAAAAAAGCATGGAAGGATAATGGGAAAATCATGTAACACGTCGATGAAACTGCACTAAATCCTTTCCGGATAGTTAGATTCGCGGTTCTCCCATAATCTCTCCGGTTCTTTTTACGATTTATCGACTTGTCTGTCTCTCTATTTCCTTTTTTATTTATATTCCATGGAAGTATCGCACTGGGATCGAACCACCCCTCAACGAATGCAAAGATACGTGTTTTACAAACGTCACGGCGCACTGTCGGCTGGCCCAGTCGCAACAGATGCAAGAATATACTCTATCTCTATCTTCGTCTCTCCCTCTTGGCCAGTCTTTTTTGCTCCTGCTCGTTTTTTTTTTTTTCCCATTGGGGAGTATGTAACTCCCAAGAGATGTCTGTGGAAGGGATGACGAACCCCATCGGTTAACTAGAGTATTGTTCGATTATTATTTCGGTACATATCGCGCACTTGTTGTCTCTTTGTGCGGTCATATGGTGGTTTGAGGGTGGTTCATCATCAATGACGGATTTGTCATTGAGCCAGGTATAACATGGAAACTTATAATTTTGGATTATGCGATATTTTGTTTGTTCATGTAAAATGTCCCTGAAGAAAAATATGATTTAGATAGATTTTCAATTTTATACTTAGTGCTTAAGAAATATGTTATCTTTCTTGGTTAGAAATTAATATAAGAATTTTAGTTTTTAGGTTACAATGAATTCTAGCATTTGCAAGATTTAATACCATTCTAATAACATTTTTAACATTCTGTGAAGCATAATGGGAGAATAGTAACATTCGGGGCGTATCTGCGACGAGTCATAAGGGATATTCTCGTTTTCTCCCCGACCACAGATTATTGATGAAATTTTACAAGGGTGCTCGATGCGTTACAGGGACGTTCCTCCATTCTATGCCCTCCCCCCCGGACTGAACTAGGGGTCCACAGAATTTTCATACAATCCATATCAACCTGTGACCCCTGTGTTACAGGTTGAATTGTCTCTAGATGTAATTTTCCAAGAAAAATAATAATTCTTAAAATTCTATAAAATATCCTTTCATTTTGTAATAATTTCAAATGTCAGTTCCAAGCCAGCAGAGTGCAAAATAGAAATAAGAAACAAGAAGAGGAACCAGGGTAGCGGCACACACGGGTAGAGAAAGGGAGGACAATGATCCGAAGGAAACGCAAGGAACATCTGTTCAGATCACGGTGCATGTCCTCCTTCAATGAGAGGCGATCGCGTCGTGAAACTTGTCCCACCTCGCCCCGTATAGGTATTCATTATCCTCGTTTCTCTGATGCACATTCGATCTTTTTTGGTCCATGAAACATCTGCGGCAGCTGCGAGACGATGGCTGGCCGCACACGGAACGAGAGGCAGGTGCTCACCTTCGAAGAAGCTTCTCTCCCTAGCTCTGCCAATTACACGTGCCTCTTTCTGCCTCCCCCACTTCTTTCGCTTCCTTCTTCATCTTCTTCTTCTTCATCCGTTTGTAATATCTCGGCCTTGATAGTTGCTATATAAGTGGGCGCAATTAAACGGTCCAAATTGGCAGTTCGTTGTAACAGTCTAGAGTAGCCTCCATGATTAGATGCTTGCTTAATATGTAGCGAGTTTGGAAATGTTTATCGTATACGAGTTAAGTTACAAACTTGGATATTGTAGTTATTTATGTATTCATTGAAAGAGATTAATAAAGAAGCTTAATAAATTTATAAATAGAAACGTACACTTGCAAGTATTATCTTTACGCTTCCATAAATTCAGAATATTCTTCCTTCTAATCATAGTTCTACATAATCTCAACAAAGAAGAAACAAGAGAAACGATAATTCACAAAAAAGGAAGAAAGAAGAGAGGTAATTGTTCTTATCTAAGCAACATCGCTAAATTTTTCTACTAACATAACCTATCACTTTTTCTTCTCCACCAGACTCGTATATAAATGATGGTGTGCTGGAGAGCTAGTCGTCCCCCTTTGTTTTTTTCTCGCATTCTCACGACGCGCGAGATCCTTTAACCACGAGCGAAATTGAGGCACGTGCATCGAGTTGCACGCGGCTGATCTCTCTCTTTCTCTCCGTTCAACAGGAGAAAAAGAAAAATAATCCAATGTACGCGCGCCATCATTGTCCCTCGGCCTTCGAAACTCGTTGCACCGTGAATTATAGACCATCCACGGGCTTTATGGATTAATAATAAAGACTCGAAATACCGTCGAAAATATATAACGAAATACGAAACGCACCTTCGAACACCAAGCATCTTACGCTCGTGGTTAGAGGCTACGGTAAGGTGAGTAAAAGTACATACGATCTCGAGTGAAATAAGTGGGAGTCACCATGCAATAACTTTGAATCGTTCCAGGTTCGGTGGGCAGTTTTACGCTCTTGTAAAGTTGGAAATACACCAGTGGATCCCAGGAAATACTCGTATATGTAAGAAAGATTTATCGAAAGGACGCGGTAGTTATTTATCTTGTGTGTTTGAGTTCCGTGATACGTGGCAAAGTATACCCCCAATCGGCCACGTCCACTATATCTACAAAGGATAGATAGGCAAGAGCTGTATTTTCTACCTACCTTATAATTAGGTTACATCGTCTAAAGGGGTTGTAACTCAATCCAAAAATTGTGCACCTTTTAAGTACTTTTTCTCTAGTTAAATATTAAATAAAATTCGATAACATTCTTCCTATAAGGAAAGAACAATTTGTAGTATACAAGGTATAACAGAACATGTGGGACCCACTTCGGGAACCGATTGTACACCTAAAAACTATGAAAAAAGTTCATATAAACATATGCTCTATCTATCTTCGTTTATGACATATAAAGAATTTTGAAAACTGCATTATAGCCGAATAGCTAAGCATTTTGTAAATTAACACTTTCCAAATAAATAGATTGGACGTGGAGGTCCTATTGCATAGCCTGCTCGTCCCCTGGGTTTAAAGGATTTTTACTTGTGAGAACACTTAAAATCGATTGTGTACGTAATACCTATTGGAAATGTTGAAATACTAAGGTTCAGAATAAAACAACCTTTTCAACAAATTCGAGAAACAACAGGAACCATTCAGAGTGTAACCGAATCCATGATAAGACGTCTACAGGCTTGCCTTGAAATGCAAGGTGGTCATTTTGAGCATCTTCTGTAAAGGTAATTAGATAACACAAAATCCAAACAGAAAATTCGTTACATCTCATAAACGAAGACACATAGAACATATGTTTATACGAACTTTTTTCACTGTTTTTAGGTGTACAATCCCGAAGTGCATCCAACATATTCTGTTACAGCCTGTATATAACTGCTCTTTAAACTTTAATAGCGAATGAAGGAGTGTAAAGACTGACAGTAGTTTGTGAGTTTCAGGAGGCTTCTAAGAAAGGTTCAAGCGTATTTTCACTACTACACAGCCGTCTCGGATCGCGTATCTAACAATTGCCCTCTTGAAGATCCGTATATCGCTTTTTTTCTACACCATGTGCTTCTTCCATGCGTGTATACACTGGGAGGCGTTCTTTTGGTAGGAAAATTTAATGCATTCAACCCTTTGCACTTAAAGAGTGTCAGGGTTTAGTGGCTCCAGTTTTAATGGAAAAATTGTGATGAAGTGTATAAGAAAATGTAAAAGGTTGAATTTTTCCATAGACTTTGAGAGTAATTATTATGTGACGCATTTTTAAGGGGATCACTTACCCATACAGCATCGCTGCGCCTGCTATACCACCTCCACACTGCGCCGCGATGTAGAGACAAGCCCGAAGCAGAGAGATCCGTCGACATAAAGCGAAAGACATCGAGACAGCTGGGTTCACATGGCCACCTGCACGACAAAAGTTTTACCGTTTTATTCTAGGTTTTACTGGACCTACATAACCAATATCTTCGATTCAAGAATTTATATATAGTATTTTTTTAGTAAAATAATCCTATAATTTGCATAGTATCTTAAATATACAATAGGCACGAAAAGTATTTATACAGATAGATATTTGACTAGTTAACTTTTACATTTTATTTTTACTTTATCCGTTTTGTAGATTCAGATTAAGATATTCTCAACAAATAGGAAATCTAATTCAATAAATATTGTAATAAAAAGGACGATGTGTAAATATTTTGGTGAACTTATAGAAAGACCACTTCCTCGCCGATTTCGATGAATTCTTAAATATGTTGTCAGAGGCATGATTTTGAACAACTTTTTCCTTACAGATAATAGTCGATCAGCCCTACTTTCTGAGATATTCGTAAAAAACTGTCAATACCATTACAGTGAATTCCGCCTATAATTGTGCGTCCGTAAAAGCGTATACCGTAAGGCGGCCAGATACAAAAATCTGACCCTACCTAACTCTTATCTTTTGTTCATAATATATATGTAAACGAGGGTTGGGCGTGCTTGGGTATTCCACCGATCTTTCAGATCAGGGCTCCGTTCACAACTGCATATATAATACAAGGCTGTCAGAAATATCTGTTATAATTCAATTAAAAATGAATATTATCAAATTAGGGCCGACCGATGTTTACGTGTAAAAATTATCAAAATCGGTGAGGGAGTGGGCTTTCTACAAGTTCACCAATACTTTTTGCACCAACTGTATAGGAAAATTAATAGCGTTAGAAGTACTAAGTGTTGTTCTGTCTAGATGCTAAAGTTATCGTCTATACAATAAAAAATTACAGATCGTAATCAAGCGACGCGTGGTCCTCCAAGGCTATTCCAGCGGGGAAGGAAAAATAGACACGATCATATTTCGCTTAGAAGACAACGAATCCTTAAGAGAATACGAGCATTTTATAGAGTATGCATGACACATATGCACGCTATCCAAGCACGGTCTCGTGTAGTACACACGTTATTTCCATCGGCCGCTATAATCGGTTAACGAGCCAATCGAGAGAGAAACCATGACGACCGAGTACAAATGACGCGACAATGCGGATGACAGAAATCTCTACCTACGATATAATATTTCTACGTCTAGAAAATTATTTCAAGATTTTAAACATGTATTCTTTACTTTATTTTCCATAGAATAATAGAATGAATTGTATATTCTTGGTCAATTGACGTAAAACTACAGTAATTAGCAGCAAAATGTACCTATTACCTAACCTAGAATTTATGTAAATTTTATAAAGATATACGGAGTAATCACTTGTAATTCATTCTATTAAATTTTAAAATCCATAGTGTTGAAACTATCCAAAACTAAAAGGTATGAGATAAATTAAGAATCTTACCACTAATGTGACCAAAGATCCAGCAGATCGCTGCAATTACGAAGCCTGAAGCAACAGCGGTGGCCAAAACGGAGAGTCCGCTTCCGGAAACGGCAGAGGAGGCCGCCGCGCCGGATACAACCAGACTAAACAGAAAAGTGGCGAAACACTCTACTGCTACGGCTCTCCACAATTCCAAACTGCGAGCTTCGATCGACATAGGCGATTTCTTCTCCGTTAGATCTGGGTTATTCTCCTTCAATGCAGATATCCTTGTAAGCAAGGTCACGATATGAGCGTCTACCTCTCTGGACAACGTTTCCGTGGTCATTTTTCCTTTTCAAGATGTACGTAATACAACTTAAGAACAATTTCAAATAGTTGAATGTATTTTAAAAAATGTTTTAAAACATTCTTTTAATTGTATCACTTTCAGAATGAAGTCAAATGTCACTCAAGCGTCGAAAACTTCTTCAGCGAACACTTTCACGCGTTGTCGTGTTCGGTTCAAGCAAAGTTCGAGTGGTACAAGAGCGTGAAAATTACCAAGTATCGAACGCGAGATTTGACGAGAGACGAACACGTGAAACCGATGTTACCGGAATGGCAACGCGCTCTCAAGTGACAAGCCACAATCCACGAGAACAAGTGGGCCCAGCAGTATGCTGGCTGACTGGCTGGTTCTTCCACCACCGTACCGCCCCCACCCTTCGACCACTGCCAATGCATCTGTGCCTGAACCGGAGAAACTCACCACGCGCCGGCTGTGTACCCCCTGAAAAAGTGTATCAGAGGGGGAGGGTGTCTAAGGCGAAAGTGAAGAGTAAAGGATGTGGTCAAGATGGTGTTTGAAGGGTAACTGTAGTACCCTGGGGAACACGAAGTTTAACATTATATTAGAAACGCGTCACTCGATAGCATGTGAAAGGTTTAAAAAAGTTTTATTCGCTTCTGGTATCAATATTTAGCGTATAGGTTAATTTAGAATATTTTCAAATGTCATAAAATTGTATTGTATAAAAGAAATTAGATTTTTGGGTTATGAGACGAGTTTGAGTGGATAGGTTGAATGAGGATGAGCAATAAATAGGAATAATTACATTTATCGTGCATGTCTTATTCCCACGAGTTCAAAGACTATTTTAATACCAAAGTTCCCACAAAAAAGGGATGTACGCACGGCGAAACACGAACAACGAGTATAATAGCGTCCATTTAAGTGAAGTTTGCGCGAATGCCGGCTCAGGATGCGCTGAATATTGCGTCCAAAGAATTTGCATCCACTGCGAACAAATTAATCAATTTAATGTGTCATCGTCACGAAGGTACATTAATATCTATATCCTCGATACAGCATCTTCATCTTCATCTTCAACATAAAGAGTACAATTTTATCATAGTTAAGAGAGTACTTATGTAAAATTGGGTTAAAGAATAAATTATATCACAGGTTAAAGGATTTTTCTTACCTTTTAATTTATATCTAGCCTTCCTCTTCATGTTCCCTTCTATTCTCAAAAGCCGACACCGTCGTGTCGAGCATGACAATTCCAAGAGAATAGCAGAGAAAACGGCTCAGCGTAATTAAGCCTGGCTGGTTCTTTTGTTGGGACTGTACACGCATGTAAGTAAAGTTGACTGGGGAAGAGTAATAAATCCAGCAATTGCTTAAATTGGAGAAGCACTAGTGAAGAGAGGTGGGACGGGTAAAAAACTTTGATGCATCGCTGGTGGCGCGTCGTCGCAATTCATCGGAATATGGGAGGTAATCTTCATGTTAAATTCAGTTCCTTGGCATATCTTCGGGAACTGGTATCTTTCATTGATTTTCGGGCAGTCCTCCGCCGTAGTTTATTAGTTTATTATATCAACAGAGTAAAACTCAGTAAGACATTTCGTTTAGTTGCAGAAGAGTTATCTTATTGATCTATAGAATATTTACACGAATCCTGATCTTTAAACGACTACAAGGAAAAGAACGAAAGTGGTATGAAAATGAAAAACGGCTCAAGGGGAACGTAATCAAATAGGGAAATGATTGAACAGGGAGAACAACCATTGGAATCATTGATTATTGCGTTATTCATGTCATGGCATGTTATTGATATATCGATGATGTTCAATTACCGTATAGTGTTAATACATAACTTCTAGTACAAAAGAGTGTACGGTGTATGTACTTACGTAATGAAAGGTTATTTGTAATAGAAAATATAAACAAAAAAATTAATTTAATTAAATAGGGTAATAGCATTTAAGAAGTAAGAAAAACTTAAAATGAAGTATCTTCAACATGAAGATCACGGACCTAATCTACTCCAGGTAACAGATAGGTTCGAGATAAGCGTTACCATCGCACGAGCCAGTGTAATTTGCCTCGATGTAGATAGTATATACAAATATAACTCATCCATTCACGCAACAGCATACTGAAACGATCATAGGGATTCGTAGATCATGCTTCATGATCGTTCCAGCAACAAGTATATATTAGCGTGTGGGCGGTCGATTGCAGTGTGTATTTGCACGCGAAATAACATTGCTATTCAGTACTCTCTGAACACTGGTCTGAGTAACATTAGTGACGAAAACAATTTTTTTAAATAAATTCACTTTTGCCAACACCGGGTGTATGTAATTCAATAGCGCAGTGTACTCGGTTTCGATCATTCTGACAGGTTAGTTTTATTTTAATACATTCTAAGGTACACTTTGTAGTACACTTATCGTTAGTGGTATAGATGTAAGTAAAGATGGGCGTTTGATACTGTCTTTTAAAATTTATTTTAAATGAAATTGTTTAGCGGTGAATTAAAAGTGACGAAGTACTAAAAATTGTGCACTTTTTTTACTTTCAAGTACTTTATAAAAAGTTAATACATTAATGAAATAAAATATTTGGTTGTTTTCGAATGTGATAGACTATAGGGTGTTGGCCCACGCGCGTGCCTATGTCGTGATCCCCGCTCAATTTCGTAAGTGCACGTGTGCAATGGTCGCACAATTCCAGCAAACCGTTTAACATTCTTTTTAGAAGTAAAAAAGTACGAATGTAGTTTCAGCCACTTTCCAGGGGTAATTTTCCGTTGTATGTTCCTTCAATGAGCATACATGACCGCTAACGAGATTTTACTTTCGTAGTGGCTTTCGCTTTTCTCCGCTTGATCGAGTTTCTTAGAAGAGACGGTGCGGTGCTCTCTTCGCTTCACTACGTGTCCGGGGAAGTGCTACGCGTGTGTACACACCAACAAACCACACCTGTCCCGTCCATTGTGAAACACCAATCCGTACGCGGCAAGATGGCCGCGTATAGTTTGTACCTGTCGATTGGACGCGTCTGTTTTTATATATGCCTCTTCATAATTATGGTGTTGTGTCAGGAACAAATATCCCCGGGTAGTCGGTACTACAGCCGTGATGGAGTGTATGTGCCTCCTAACGGACCTGATCACCGTACCGACACTTATATTTACAAAGATAGGCGGTATGGCTATCGTCCCAGTTACCTGGATCCTGTTTATGGAGGAGCTACGAAAGTACCGGAGGATAGGTACCTCTACGAGGTGAAATTTTGTATCTATTTTTTCATAAGAATTACATTATTTTAATTAAAAATCAGTGACACCCGGTATATTTTCTATTGATCATTATAAATAAAATTGACCAAGGATTGTAATAAACGAATTGTCCTTTTTAAGGATACAACTTCAAGACTTCCTCTACCAGGAGTGCTAGGTGGTTGGCGTGAAGATCTTCAAGGTAGAGAGAGGCCAGACTCTAAGAATCAAGACAGAGATGTGAATGTCATTACTGCTTATGGACAAGTGCAAGGATTTAAAGTTTATCTGTATGATGATCCAGAAGCAAGGCATAGACCCTGGAATCTACCAGTTGAGAGAGTTACTAAGGATGTTAATGTGTTCCTGGGTATTCCTTATGCAATGCCACCTATTAAGGAAGGACGGTTCAAACCACCCAGACCTCACAGAGGCTGGCAGCTGTTGCAAGCTGTTGATTGGGGACCAGCCTGTCCTCAACCTAGTTCTTACACTGGTGCCACTAAAGGAATCCGAGATGTGGATGAAGACTGCTTGTACTTGAATATTTTTACTCCATATGTTGGTTCTGGTGTGGCTCAACCTTATCCAGTAATGTTCTATATTCATGGTGGAGAATTTACTCATGGGGCTAGTAATTTATTTCCAGGCCATATGATGGCTGCATTTTACAATGTAGTAGTTGTCTCTATTAATTATCGATTGGGTGCACTGGGATTCCTAAGTACAGGAGATGAGAACAGCCCTGGGAACTATGGAATTCTGGATCAAGCTATGGCACTGAGATGGGTATATGACAATATCAGAGCTTTCAATGGTAATCCTGATGCAATAACTCTTTTTGGACCTGGTGCTGGTGCAGCAAGTGCTGGATTATTAATGCTTGCACCTAGAACAAGGGACATGGTGTCAAAAGTGATAGCTCAATCAGGCTCTGTACTGGCAGATTGGGCAGTTATAATAGACAAATATAGAGCACAGAATACATCCAGAGTATATGCAGAAACATTGGGCTGTAGTATAGAAAGCAGTTGGAAATTGGTGCAGTGTTTGAAAGATTTTAGATCTTCTTTTGAACTGGGTAATTCTGAGTTAAGACCACATATTGGAATGTTTCCATGGGCTCCAGTATTGGATACTAATTACACAGTACCAAGTGACAATTGGTATGAAGACTGGAGAGCATCCGACTGGCATTTCTTTGAGGAAACACCTGAAGAAAGTATAAAGAATCACAAGTTTAAATATAATTTGGCATACATGACTGGAGTAACCACTCAAGAAGCAGCATACATTATATGTATGTAACGTGAATGTACTCTATTATTATTTTTACAATTTAATAATTATTTTTATATTTCAGATAACAATGCCACATTAGCCAGAAACCAATATATCATAGATTTAGAATTATTTGATCAAAAAATATGGGAACTAGTTCTTCAGTATAACTATACTCTTAATCCTCAAGGTGTTTATGAAGCTATAAAATATATGTACACATATTGGCCAGATCCTAAAAATATTACGCATATTCGCGACCAGTATATTAATGTAAGTTTCACATATTTTATATGTGCAGTTTACCGTTATAGTTTTATGATTATGTAATATTATATTTCTAGCTTTTATCTGATTTCCATTACGTGGCGCCTTTTGACAAAATTACCAAATTATTAGTGGAGAAAGACGTGCCTACATATCTATATGTGTTAAACACATCTGTAGAAGCATTAAATTTGCCACAATGGCGAAGAGTTCCTCACAATATCGAGCTTTTTTGGTTAATAGGTGCTCCCTTCATGGATGTTGGTGAGCAAACAAAATTTTCTTCTAAGATAACACATAATTATCAAAATATAATTCTTCCAGAATTTTTCCCCCAAAAATGGAATTTAAAACGAGATATGTGGACAGATAACGATCGTAATATGAGTCGTTTTTTTATGCAAGCATACGCAAATTTTGCAACATATGGGTGCGTTTATTTTTATCGTTAATTTTTCATTTTTTCCATATAATAATAAAACTTTTTTCTTTTTAGAAATCCCACACCTTCACAAATCTTGGGATTGCACTTTGATGTTGCCAAAGTTGGCCAGTTACGCTACCTGAATATTAATACTACCTTCAACAGTTCAATTTTATTGAACTACAGACAAACTGAAAGTGCCTTTTGGTCTATGTATTTACCAACAGTTATTGGTCGTTTGGTACCTACATATCCCCCAGTTACTGAAGTACGAACGCTATATATATATTCTCTTTTATATATTCAGAATTTTATTAATTTTTTTTTTTTTTGTATTCTTTTGTAGTATTGGTGGGAGCCAAAGCAACCCCTACAAATTGCATTTTGGTCAGTGTCCACCGTATGTTTGCTGTTAATTGTGCTCTCTGTGGTGTGCTGTATGCTTTGGCGCAATGCCAAAAGGTAAGAAAAGGTAAACAGAACCAAACCCGATATCACTATATCGTTTAATGCCGTAGTGCATGGGGGTAATGGTTCTGATACTATAAGTATAATAAAAGAGCACATTCAAGGTAGAATTTAACATGATTAATTATTCTGTGTATTAATACTCTTATTCTTGCTTGTGATTCATGCAGCAAGACAAAGGTTGCCAGATTGTATGCAGGTAATCACACACTATGTACATATTTAATTGCACAGCATGAAGTTCTATGGTAGTGAAAAGGTTATAAAATCCTTGATGGTCTTATTACAAAATTAATTTTCCATCTAACTTTCATTTTGTACATTTTTTTACTATATTCTCTATGTTATGTCCAGACAATCTGACCACTACTATAGCGGAGATATCCTGATGGTACGAGACGATGAACCCTCGGAGGGAATGGAAAATATGAATCGATCCTCGAAGGAGAACGTTTACGAGTACCGCGATACACCACCCATTAGATCCAGGATACCGCGACAAAATGAAGTGAAACTTCAGGAACGATTGGCGCAAAATCGAAAATTTAGCTCGACTCCGTCGCTAAGGAGCAACTCGAACATCTCGTTGAAGGATATGAGGTCGGAGGGATTCGTTACCAGTTCACCAAACGGGCAACCTAGACTGAACAAAGCGATGAGTCAGACTTCATTATCCAAAGGTAAAAGTAAGACGCATTTAGTACAAGGTACCCCGCAAACAGCTGTATAATATTCTCTTCATTGAGTACTTCTGCAGTCGCTTTATTTATATCACTGAACAAACGGCTAAACTCTTACAGATGATTCTGCAATCAAAAACATAGTTAATGTTAAACATAATATGTGTCCACACACATACGCCCGCGCGATTGTTTTAATATGATGACTATATTGGAAAGATTTCCAGATATTAAAATATGATCTCTATGTAAGAGAACTGGTAACATTTATAAATGACTGAAGTTAATATTCTAAGAAATGGTGAAACATTTTGTCCGTCCATGAAAATATCATTGTTGTATAGCACTGTACATACGGATACACTTATTTTGTACTACCTTTTTTTTATGTGAATTTTTAATTTTACAAAGAAGGATGTTATACTTTATAGGTTATATGAGATTTATGTTTTAAAGAAAATGACATATGCCACAATAGTAATATATATATTACACCTATTAATATAATATCATAATGAAGTTTCTTTCAGGACAAATTTAATAATGGTACACTTAGAAGAATTAAAACGTTCTTTTATGTTCAGTTTTTACCATAAAAGAAATAAGTATAATTTATCTTATGGATATATTAGGTGGTAAACTTAATTTCTGCCGTTCGCTACCAAAGGGTGTCACCTCCAACGTTGGCGAGTTTTGACGGTGAAATCGTATGTCTTTTGTTATTTAGACATTACTGAATGTAATTCAGTCCTCACAGGTTAGATTTTTTAACGCCAAAGCGATTTTCCAAACGATTTCCACCTGAAGAAAACCGCAGCTAAAACACATCGCTTATTATCCGAAGTGTATGGTGATGAAACTCCATCAGAAAGAACATGTAGAGTTTGGTTTGAACGCTTTCGAAACGCTGCTTTTGACGTGAGAGACAAAGAACGTCCCAGACAGCCGAAAAAATTTGAAGACGTTGAGATGCAAGAATTGCTCGATGAGAATCCAGCTCAAACACTTTTTGAATTGTCGAAAGCGTTAAATGATACACCAATGGCCGTCTCAAAACGCTTGCATGCCATGGAAAAAATTCAGAAGGAAGGGAGATGGCTACCACATGAGTTATTAGAAAATGCCTCGTTGAATTGTGTGTCTATCGCGACTTCTCGCTCAACCGCATGTTGTCAAAAGCGTGAAGCAGACACTTCTAGAGCTTAAATCTGAAGTCCACCCACATCCAGCCTACTCTCCAGACTTTGCACCATCGGATCACCATCTCTTCCGGTCGATGCAACACGCACTTACAGACACACACTTCTCCAATTACGAAGAAGTCCAAAAATGGGTGGGTGAATGGATCGCCTCGAAAGACATCGCGTTCTACCGTCGTGGGATTGCCCTGTTGCCGGAGAGATGGGAAAGAAGAGAAAATGGAGGAAAGTACTACGATTAAGATTCGTTCATCCTCCCTTTTGAAATAAATTAATTTCGGAGACGAAGAAATGGCAGGAATTAAGTTTACCACCTAATATTTATAGTGTTACTTGAGAACACGCATAGTCGTCGAATCGATCTCATTATCGCCACGATTTCGATACCATAGGTTTATCATTCATTCTAGTATTTTATAGTACCTAATTATAGAGATATGTATGTATGTTATTATACCATGCGAGAAATTTGATGTATTTTTTTAACATATAAGATTTTTATTTCGTACTAAAAAGAAATGTTATCAGTACTGATAGGGTTGCATTTATATTAAAAATAATGTATTATAAGTATTACAGTGTCAAAAAAACACCGTTATGTTACGATTTCATAATTAAAGTACATTGTACAAACAATATTCAAGCTCCTGAAATACCCTAAAAAAGCCTTCAATCGTAGCAACATTCACAGTTGTTAGAGTAGATGTCGATTATTTTATTTGCAAAATATCATGACCATAAAAAGTTTTTTAATTCTTAGTGAAAGATAAAAAACATGGGGTCAAAACGTGCAAAAGTATGATTTAAGAAATTCAAAATACACGTAAATCTGTTTTTTTATTCTTTAATGTATACCTATTACGCGTAGAAATGTGTATCTAAGGGTATAAACCGAGTAGATCGTGAGCAGCAAATAAAAAATCAATTCGATCTTCTTCGTCTGGAAGTGAAATATCCTGGAACAGCAATATTATTGCTGCAATGTAAAGAAAAACCCATCTTATTAGCCGCATCAGCTGCTCTTGCGAAATTTGGCGCTAAATCTGAAGAAAACTTGGAAGTCTTGTTCAATCTTGAAATCGTAGACAGTGTACTTCCATTGATCACACATGAGGATTTATTCACTCGAAGGTTAATTTTAAATTTGTATTGTCCCTTTCCTTAATTTACCAATTTTTATGTTATAGATTCGCTGCAAAGTTGCTAGCAGAAATGGCAGTTATTCCAAATGTCCGCTATTTTCTCTTAGATTTCAATTATTACATTCCACATTTTATCAAAGTACTAATTAACGAAGAAGACATGTTTATGCAAGAATTTTCATCTTTAATCCTAGCAGAAATATCGACCGATGTTTTTGGTGCAGCTCAATTATTGAAACAATGTTCAGACATGAACTTTCTGTTTGAAAGAATTCAGTCACCAGATCCTGATGTGAAGAAGAATATTATACAAATTATGTACAATTTATTGCAAGATCCTTTGGGTGCCCAAGAAATCATTATGACTAAGGTAAAAAATTAAGGGTGAATTTTACAAAACTTTCACAATTCTGTTTTTATTTATTAAGACTCATTATTATTTTCAGGATTTTGATATGCAACTCATATATAAATTATTTAATTCGTCTTATCTTGAAATACAAAAGCTTGCTCTCGACGTGATAGCTGATTTTGTGCGCAGAAATAAGAATGAATATTTGCATGACCACTTCCGGCGTACGAACGGTCTTCAAGCTCTGTTACAGGTCTTAGAAGTATGATATTCTTGTAACTATGAAGAATTTTTTTTGGATTTCTTCTGAACTTTATATAAGTGGATTTATATATTAACTTAGAAGAGAGAGTGGGAAGATATTCACAAGAAAGTTCTCAAGATTCTCTGCTTAGCCTGTGACAATGTTACTACAGTAGAATTGCTAGATGATATTGGTGGTATTAAACAGATATTGAAATATACAGAGGATACGTCGAATTCGAAACTCTTTATGGAAGCTTTTGACTTGGCTGTTTGTTTGTCCCAAACGCCTAAGGGTAGAAAAGTAATCCTTGTTTGGTAAACTTAAAGAAGTCAAAAAATTGCGTCTAATTTTTGTCTAAATTAATTAAGAACTCGAGGTCACTTTTATGCTATTTAATCCGTGCTATAGATGATCTTGAACATTCAGCTGATTTTAGATAGGCTATAGTCTGTTTGAAACACAGAATACTGTTTGATTTATTACTGATGCTTTTACTGGAAAGGCTCTTTACACGTATGGGATGGTCGATTATTTATTACACGCGTTAGTGGGCAGTATGCAGCCTGACATGTATGAAATCACTTGCCACGGTATTGGTATGATGACTCTGTACAACCATGCCGCTAAGGATCTGACTGAGAGTAATTGTGTGAAGAACATTTTAGGTATAATTTTCGAGGAAGCAATACATCATCTGAGAATGTCATAATAATTAACGATTCCTCTTCAGATGTGTTCAAAAATGAGAAACTAAAATGGCCTGTCAGACAGGCAGCATTGTTTGCATTGAAACAGCTGCTGAGGTGTAATATCAGCAACTGTCAGAATTTCTTGAACATTCAGGGACAGGTAATCAAATTTATTCAACCAGTTACAGTATACTTATTCTAATAAAAAATATTTTAACAGAATTATTTGTTGTCACTGATGAAACAAACAGTGGGAAAGGTCCCTATTGAAATTCTCGTTGGAGTTGTAGAATCTTTTATTATAATTGCAAGGAACTTGGCTTTGAGAAGAAGCATAATCAGCACAGATTTAATTGACACCCTGTCTGCATCCTTTGAGGTATATCTCCAGTTTCATTAAAGAGAAATCATTCAAAATAAAATATTTAGGTTAAAGAAAAGATAATCGATTCATTTTCAGTTGACATGCAAATCGATGAATGACTTCAAAGTAATCTGTTGCACTGCCCTGTCCATTCTGTGCACAGAGAAATTTGGAAGGCAAGAATTTCTGAAGACTGGAAGAGCGAAAAGATTATATAATCTATTGTGCGACATCGGTTCGATTCCAGTAAGAAATGCAGTCGTCCAACTGATCCAATCACTTTGTGTAGACCCGATTTTGGCAGACGCTTTTGTCAAAGCCAGATATTTGCATTAGTATGTTCAAAGGTTCCATTTTTTCACGACGAAATTGATAGTAGAATAATTTATAAAAGTGATGATTATAGCATGCTGAAGAACCGGTTAATCGCCAGAGTTGTTCCATCATGGAACACGTGTATAGAGGCTTTGTTCGACTCGCATCTTTCCCTCAAATTTGCTCTCACCGGACGACTTTCTTTTCATAACGTCACTGAAGATGGATTTTATGTTCTTCGGAGGAATGTCTGCTCGTACGCCATCTTTGAAACTATTTTATTTTGTCGTTGAAAGAGAAACAAATATTAGTTTTTTTCATTATTTGTTAGGTTTCCCATATTGGATGATATATTGAAATTTAAATTTTGTCCACTGGAACCTATCTACGTAGTCAATTGTATTCGTCCTCGACAATCGAGCTTGTTAGAAGAAGAATGCGACCGACTGAGCTTGCAAGGTGAATAATAAATATTGTGTTGTTTTTTTACTCGGTTATAGTAAAAGTGTTTCTTTTTAGAGCCTAGTATACTGTCCATCGATTCTAAAAGAATCTTCTTGTCCACTGAGATTAGACGTATGACGATGGAATCGAGGTTCGGTCGTCTTCAGTGCGATTCTCATCTCTATGATTATATAGAATTATTCAAATGCAATCTGATTGCTGCAGAGTCGAAAAACGTGTAAGAAAACGGATTCTTAATTGGTCGCAGCTTTCATAATTATATTCGTAATTTTTCAATATAGAGTGTCGAAAACGAGACAAGGATTGGTGAACATAAATTACATAGCCTCACGTGCTAAAATGCTAGGCAAGTTTGTAGCTCAACAAATGTCAGGTCCAGATCCTCTAATCAACTGTATAGACCACCAGTTAGAGATTCATTTGAAGGAGATCAAGAAGAGCATAGGAACCAGCGTAATACCATTAGGAATGTTACGAGTTGGTTCTTATTTTGAAAGAGCCTTGCTTTTCAAAGTAATCGCTGATAGAGTATATCTGCCAGCTGCGTTGGTGCGTGGAGAGTATGGGAAAGCTTGGATAGAGATAGCTGTGCCTGAGGTATACCACTTTGGATCTCTGTACTTACAGCAATATTTACAACTGTAGCAGCTTTTTACTTTCGAACATTTTCACCAGGTAAAGTCTTCAGTGGAAGAAGATTCGTTTTACTCTTACATCCACAGAGACATAACCTGTCCAGAGATTATCACAATCCATGAACCTGTACAGTACCCACCTGAAAGCGGAGATCAAACAGGTAATGATATAATTCCTGAACAAGATCAGTATCAATCGGTATTCCCAACCAAGTTGTTGAAACCGAATTTTATTGTCGATTTAATGGAATGTCCTGGAGACTTGATTCCCGTTAATAGTTGTCGAGCCAGATTGTACTGCGAAAAAAGACTAACCTGTATTGATATGTGTCAGAATATATAACTTCACAGCTAGATCGCAAGATTTATTTCATTCAGATACATTAGTTAAAAAATGACTCTAAGTTTATATTGTAACCTCTAATTCTCACTCTCACTTTCTTTGGACTCTGTATAGAAAATCCTTAGCTTAGAAGATCGCTTAATAATAAAACGCAAAAGACCTTATTTACAACGGTTAGTACGCATTCACAGATGGATATAGACTGATTGCTCGTTAATTAACAATATTAACCTACGTCTACTTCCATTGGATGTCAATAGCAGCTGCTGCGGAACACTTTGGCGTATCGTTGCACGCTCAATAAATTACTTTCTATTAGAGTTCGATTGCAGTCGGGGCTTATCGCTACAATATTTCAATTATACTATCAATCGCAATTATATATTTCACGTACAAATATCTGCGAGTTTCACCATCCCGAAGAAACTGTTTTCCTTGTCGAAAATGGCATACCTCGATGCTTGAGCCTCCTTAAAGACTAGTACATCTTGCTTCTTAAGAGAAGTCAGTTGGGCAGAAAAACATGTTTGGCTAATATTTCGCGAATTACACGAATTGTCAACCTAAAAACATTAAGTGCATTATCATTTACTAATATTAGACCGTTACTTACAAAACACAATATTTTACCCACCACGCACTGTAGAATGGACTGGTTGTTCACTTGCAAATGAAAGCCAAGTTCATCATGCTCATCGCGGTAATGAATCTGCGCATAAACCAGGTACAATCCTGGTTCATAAACGGTTACGCTCCCGTTGTTGGACATGTGGAAGTATTTATTCATACCAATGGTCTCTACCCAGGAACTGGCTTTCCATGCCTTAAAAACACTATCCCCATGTAGAATTCTGCCGTTTCCAGTGTTTTTATCATTATGTGACCGCCAGTCCTTGTTCCCGTCATAGTGAACGGCGAAAGTCGTGTGGTGCGCGGACCGATGTTTTCGAGAAGATTTCCTGGACCTCGTCGAGCCACTCTGCACACTGGATTCGCCTCTGCGTTTGGAAGGAGGCGCGTGGTTAGCATCCACAGCCTGGTGGGTGTTATATTTCTTCGGTGGATACCTATTTGTGACCACGATGGATCTGTGGAAGACAAAGAAACGGATGTGCTTGAGTCATGGGTTATACTCATTATACTCTATCAAGAGTACTTAAGGATCCTCTGACACGTTTTAAATGTGTATGAATTGGCACTAGATGTGTTAATGTACCATTAAATTTTAACCAATTTTCAATGTTAAGTATTTAAAAGAATTTAAACTAACTTATTTTTATCCTGTTGAAAACTTTTATCCTCCCACATCTCTTTAGAATTGGAATCAGAAGCAGTCATCCTTCTAGTATAGTTCTTTGGATGATGTCTATTAATATACAATCTCTCTGAACCATGTTCCTCTTTTCCAATTGACCGTTTACGTTTCAAGGCTATCTTCCAATTTAGTAGAAGATCCCTTGTACTTTCTACATCCGGTACATCTCTTTTCCATTTGGTATTATTTTTTTGATCATCTAATTTTTCTTCCAACACCTTTTTCTCGTGATCACGATCCCGATCCCGATCCAAGTTCTTGTGAATCTTTTTCAACTCTTGACCGTGCTTGGCCTCCAGCTTGCGCATAGCTGCCCACAATTCTATCGTGGCTTTGTCTGAACTGAGCTCCGGTGGAGAGGGTACGGGCGCGATCGTTGATGAGGTATCAGGGAATTCGGATGGCCTTGCGCCAAACGTTGGTGGAGAGTGATAGTCTGTCAGGTAATCATGAGAAGATGTATCGTCATCATAATTGGAATCGTAATCGGTGGTGTCAATATCTGCCTCCCCTGGATCATCATCATCATCATTGGATTCTTCAGCGTATAACTGTGAACAGAACAAATTATTGAGATATTTAGGAGGTCTGTTTTCTGTGAGACACCCTGTATAATCTATAAATGAATAATATATATACAGGGTGTCTCGTGCAACTGGGCGGAGCTGTATCTTTGAAGCTGTTAGAGACAAGAAAAAAATGTCAAAGGCCAAAGTAAATGGTATCGTATGTTCTACATTTCTGTACCACTCTTATGCATTCTTGTGTATTGATACACTTGCAAAATGCAACTGCATCTTTTTTTTCAAATAGAACGATATAATTTTCCTTGCATAAATCGATTCACTGAATCATTCTGCGTATAAAAATGTTATGGCGATATGATCGTAAACTAAACAGTTTACGATATATTTCAACATTCTTAATAGAACGTTTCAAGAAAATACTTCAAGCAAATTGAGTTCCAATTTTTGAAAATACATATCAGTTAACTGAGCACGGTTAGAATATGTATTCCGATAGAGACTAATAGCACATTTTGAATTTCGATTGCATTTAGCAAAGATCAATATCATATCGACTTTTTCAGAGTTTGAGAACGACATGATTCTGTACTGAATGTAAGCTTCAATAAGACTGATTTAGAAATTTCAGCTGGATATCTGTGATTGTGAAATTACTTATAGTTTACAAACATTACGCAGTTATGATAATTAGCGTAAATAAGGTCGTAGATATACAGGGTGGTCCAATAAGAATTAGCACTTGCATATCTCCGTTGTTTTTTGGGAATATGTAAAAATTTTATTAACAAAAGTTGTTCAGTATAAAGGGGGGCTGTAATAAGGCAGTAATCATTTTTCTGCAGCTGGAGGAGTTACAAGGTCACTTTCACTTTTCCATAAAAAATTATTAATCTGTGTGCGTCGAAAAATTATTAATTTAGTAGAATCCTTTAGATCTTTTGTTTGCCATATTTTTGTTTATCAACTGATAGCAACTCTCAAGACGAATACAGATATCGTCACAAGGTCAGTCAAGGTCATGGGAAGACGATTGCATGATAAACTTACTTTTTCTAGATGTGTTGTTCAAAATTGCACATTGAATCATTTCAGAATTTATTGAGGCACATGCTGCAATAATTCTTTGCTTTAGGTCTGGCGATCGAGATGGTCATGGTACGGGCTCTCCGCGTCCAATCCAACTATTTGAAAATATTTTATCTAATACACTTCGGGTGAGAATAATGTGCCGGGCATCCATCATGCTGGTACCACCATTAATATAAGACGTGTACTGTACGGTACTTCTTTTAATAAATCTTCTAAAGTGTCTCGAATAAATGCGGCATATGCATTTCCATTAAGAGTTCGCTTAATAAAATGAGGACCAATAATTTTATTGTTCATAATTCCACACCATACATTCACGGACCACTGTCTCTGATGGTCAATGTGGATTTTGCTGTGCCCAAAAGTGCATATTATGTACATTAAGGTTTTCACGATTCCTAAATGTAGCTTCGCCGGAAAATAGCACTAAATTAAAAAACGAATTATTATTTTGAATTTTGAGCCCATGCTGAGCCCATCCACAAAATTCAATGCGATTCGCGAAATCAGTATCACTAACTTATTGATGGATATTAAGATGGTACAGATGGAATTTATTATAATGGAGAATGCGGAGAACACTGTTTCTACTAATGTTACTAATGTTTGGATTTTCAATTACACTTCGAAGACCATTAAATTCATTTTATTCGGTAATTACTCGTTTTCAGCGTTCGTTGTTGTGAAAATCGAGGGTGTCACTTTATCTCCATTTATCATAAACATTTTTAAATGTTTGACGCGATGGTTGACGACGGTTTGGATATCGTTCAGCATGCAACATATTAGCTTTTACTGAATTTTTCTGGCTTTCTATGTAAATGATAATCATATCGGATTGCCCTTCGAAGGGATACATCACGTATAATCGTCTTGTAACATACTAATATTACAGTTTTATCCATAACACGATGACTTACTATGATTCTCATCATAATTCCAATAGGAAAGGCGTTTTTACTTGCTCGTAAGTAAGTTTATAATGTAACCATCTTCCCATGACCTTGAACGACCTTGTGACGATATCTGTATTCGTTTTGAGAGTTGCTATCTGCTGATAAATAAAAATATAGGAAACAAAAGATCTAAAGGGTTCTACGAAATTAAAGATAAAATATCTCCTAACCTAACAATTCTTCGACATAACATAGGTTAATAATTTTTTTATAGAAAATGACGAACTGCACCACCTGATGCATAAAAATATATACAATTCCATGTAAGAAAGTGGAGGTGACCTTGAAATCTCTGAAATTCCTCCAGCTGCAGAAAAATTATCACTGCCTTAAACTTTTGTTGATAAAACTTTATCATATCTCAACAAATAACGGAAATATTCTAGTGCCAATTCTTATTGGACCATCCTGTATGTGAGAAAACGCTTAAAGGAACGTATTACTGAGAAAGTTAAAATATATCGTAAACTGTTTAGTTTATGATCATATCACCATAACACTTTTATACCCAGAATGATCCAGAGAATCGATTTATGTAAGAAAAACTATATAGTTCTACTTTAAAAAAAGATGTAGTTGCACTTTACAAGTGTATCAATACACAGGAATGCATAAGAGTAGGGATTTTCCGGAAAGCTCCGGTGACTGATCGACACTAAATTAGGAGGCGGGGAAGGATAGTGGACCCCAAATATAAAATATTAGCTTCAGCCAATCATTAGTTTCCGGGGTATTGATGAAAAAATTTCAGTACTATACATTGTAATTGCGTAGTAAATACAGACGTTATTAATACATTGAATGCTGCCTATCCAGATGTTACTAAACAACCGCTTTCGCTGTAGTGGTCGTTGCCGTTAAGTGTCGAGTATGGGCCCGATATCTAGAAAGTAACGAATTTTGTCCAAATTAAGCTCATTGAACGAAGCCGCCACTGAAAGCGTGGATTTTAATATAACCTAATCTTGTCGATCAGTCGAGCTGGAGCACAGCGTTTAATACCGCTGAATACATATCTATTTAGGCGGTCGGCAATATCAGAACAGTCAATCGCTTCGCCAAAATTTTACGTGGAACACCCTATATGTACTGAGGCCTCTACCGCTATTGTGTCACATCGGTTGCTCGACACTGGACGGCAACGACCACTGCAGCTAAAACGGTTGTGTTAGTAACATCTGTATAGACAGCATTCAATATTCAGTCACGTCTGCATACGCAATTTCAATGTGTAGTACTGAAAGTCTTTTGTTAAAATCTCGGAAACTAATGATTGGCTGAAGCTAATATTTTATATTTGAGCCCCCGCTCAGAGGGTCTGGCAAGATAAGATGGTGAAAAGTGCCCTTGAACCAATTAGGTCGTGCGATATACCATTCCAAAGTTCACCGAAAGAAAACATTGGACACCAACTTTCAACCCCCGAGCTCGAGCTAGGACGTAGTGACGGGATGGTTTGTGCGTTCATAATTCTGTGGACTATTTTCCCTATTTAGTGGTATACAAAAGTTTTGAAAAAAATCACATGTTAGCAAAGCACATGTTACAGGATTTTTTCAGATTTCTTCGTTGCAAATCCTAGTTGTAAAAAGTAAAAGACGTAAACAAAAGCAGATATCTTTTGAAATATTGAAGCGACTACTTTTATATTTGTGTAGTAGCAGCATCTTAACATAACTATTATCCTTAATTTTTTTCAGATTTTTTGGAAAGGTGCACTGTAGTTCAAAAAATAGAAAACCGTTTTTTTAAAACTTCTGCTTTGAATTTTTATACTTTCCTTATTCAGTGTGTATATTATGCAAACTTAAACATTTTTACATTTGAAACAACAATATTCAAATTAAAGAAGTTGAGTTAACTCAATTAATGAAAATTGCCCAAATTTCTCTATATGGGCAATGTAATAGAAAAATGTTATAGAAATGTAAAAATGTTTAAGATTGCGTAATATACACACTGAATAAAGAAAATTTTATTGTGTTTTGAAGGGTGTACCAATACTTTTGTTCAATTTGATAACAATTAAAGAATATTTTTGTGTATATTTCTTAAAGTATTTAATATTGTCAATCAATCTGTTTACATGCACCATGGTTACGTAACACAGTGGTACCGTATGCGCGCAGGCATTGAATTTGCGGCGGTAACTTTTCCATCAATGGTCATAATCCGGGTCGTCGAACTGTCTGATGCTCCTGCACGTGTAAGCACTGGCCCACGGTTCATCTATGATCTACATTGTAACACTATATAGCTTCTACACTGATAATACAATTTTTTCTTATTTTCTTCAGTATAACGGGAAAGAGATCGGTTTAAGGAGAGTTACGCAAGATTATTGCATAATTAGTATCAGTATTTTCTAACTTCTCTTTGAAACAAAACAAATTTGCTTGAAATTGAATCACTTAACGCCATGATTAATTTTAGACATATTTACGTTAGGTTATTATTGATATAAATTACCTTTTTTTTTTTTTCTATAGTTTGGTATCGTGGACTTATCTGTCAGAGATGGATCCTTCTTCTTGCAATTAGTGGAATATTCTTTTGAGATTAAAGTTTTTTTTATCTCTTAACAGTGAGATTTCCAGTCGTGTTATGTGCTTGCTTACAATCCCACTCCTAACTCTTGTCGCTTAGAAAAGGTGGAGGTATGGAGAAAGAGAAGAAACTTAGGGTGTGAAGAATAGTTTGTGAGCAGTAGGGGAAGAGTTGGATGTTTGTAATAAGCGGACGGTCAGGAGATCATAAGTAAGGGTAAAGGCGACTTCGTTTGAGTCCTTGGACGAACTTCTTATTTTAGACAATGAGAACCCTTACGATGACAGACAAAATCCTTAATTTTCAAGTTTCCGAATTTTCGAACTTTCAAGTTTACAAATTTTCAGATTTCAAAATTAATAAGTCTCAATTCAAACATAAAAATGAAAACGAAAAATAACAGTTAAAGGATGATTGAGTTACACATAGTGGTTGAGTAACTCTACCAGCACGTGACACACAATTCTCCTTCATTAAAAAAAAAAAGAAAAAAGAACCCTTACCTGCTCCTCGAAAGCTTTCAGCTCGTCCAGTAGATCCTCCTCCAAAAAACGGTGCTTCAGACTCTCCACGTTTCGTTTTAATTCTTCGATTTCACGCGCGTTCACTAAAGAATAATGAAACTTCCAACTTTCGAGACCCAAGCAAAGAAGAGCGATTAACAGAGCTGTCACGCTTATAATCGTATTTCTATTCGGCCGGAAGCGATGTTTATTGAAACCTTGCTCAAGGTCTGACTGAGAGATGCTCAAGTTTTCTCTAGAGAAGCTGAGAAAGGAGCGTGTTTCCTCTTTTACATGAGTGTCGTTCATTAACTTCTGCTTCATTCTAGTGACCTTTGACTCCTCTTCATGTAACACAGAAGTCATTATAAATATCTTAATAACTTCTCCTTTAAATAGAAATCTAAATTACGCTGCACGCCGTTAAACCACTGTAAACACTATAAATTTTCTCTTTTATCTTCTTTCAGATTAATATCTAACGTGAAAGATCGTAAATTATGTCCATGGTTCTTCAGGATCTAACTTCTTTTCCATTCGTGTCGACAGTGCATCTTCGAAGTCAGTTGAACTTTATTCCCCCGTGTTGCCACATCTCTTTTATCGTTTCGATGACATAATATCACTGAACATGGTCAAAAATAACACTTTCGTACTTTCTTCTTCGACTTATCATCCACTTTCAATGATCACCATGAACGATACCAAACGGATAAATTCTAAAATTCAACGAAGTAATTGACGTAAAACTCTCTTCTTATTCTACTATTTATTAATTAAACAACGGGTGGTTCACCTGATTCCACCGTTTCATAAGTTCACGATGATCCACAACGTTAAATGACCGGTATATACCGGTCTTGGCCCTCTTTAAAACCTGTCCAGCGGGTTTCTTCCCCTCCAGAGAAGAACCGTGAACAAGCACAGTCTACATAGAGTAGCCAAGACGCGACCCTTTAGCCCCCCACCACCGCACGTAATCCCTTCCTTCCTTCTGTCCCTTTTTCTTCTCGTTCACAAGACTCGTGTTTTCGATTACTCTTCTCTTTTTGATCTTCTCAGATTTCTTGCTCCTTCGATCCTTTGTCTTCTTAGCCTCTTGATCCTCTACACTCTCTAATGATGCAAAGTAAAGGAATAATGGTGAAATAGTATTCAGAATGAATAATGATTGGAAAAGTCGACGACGATTATTTTTTGTAATTCTAAAACAGATGTTTGTTGATTTGTTAACAGTGAGGAAAAGTTTAAAAACTGTTTAGTTTGTAGAGAATAGAGGAGAACGGAAGAAACGACTTACGTGGCTGACAGACACGAGTCTACTGACTAGAAAGAACAGAACGCGTTCGAGTTCATCGTGGCAGCACCTTTGGATATCAGTGGCGTAGATTAGTGATCCAGAGATACAGCCAGCATCCATATAGTCTTGACGTTCAATTAAAATCCTGTTGTTATAGTCTTATATTATCTTTTAGTAATTTCTTCTTTTACGGCAGTCAATAATTATTGATCTATCAATGTTCAACACAACGTTCCATTATGAGGAAAATAATTTGCTACATTATAATATTACAATTGAATTTCCAATAATACATACCGGGTGAGTCACCTAGGACTGGAAGCTGAAATATTTTCAAAACTGTTAATTATATCGAAAAAGGCTTTCAACAAAAGTTCAATGGTTTCAAGGGGGACATTGTTTAATATGACTAGCATTTTTGTAAGTGGACACGTCGAAGACATACGAAGGTCAAGTTTTTTTTTTTTTAATGGACTCGTATATTTTTTAATACATCAATCGATTCAGCTTATCATTCTCTATAAAAAAGTGTTAAGTTATTTATACCGAGAAACCATTACTTTAGAAGATATTTTAATTAAAATATTGCGGAATGGTACTCTTGCAATCGATTTAAATAAATATTCATTACATTATTACATATTATCTATTACAAAATGTGTTCAAAATGATGACCGTTGGCATCTAAACATTTTTGCAATCTAATCCTTAAAAAGTATTATTTACGACTTAAGATTTCTGCTTGTAAGAGTACCTACCATTCCGCAATATTTTAATTAAAATATCTCCGAAAGTAATGGTTTCTCAGTATAAATACCTTAACACTTTTTTATGGAAAATGATGAGCTGAATCGATTGGTGTATTAAAAAATATACGATTCCATTAAAAAAAAAAAAAACTTGACCTTCGTATGTCTTCGACGTGTCCACTTACAAAAATGCTAGTCATATTAAACAACGTCCCCCTTGAAACCATTGAACTTTTGTTTAAAGCCTTTTTTGATATAATTAACAGTTTTGAAAATATTTCAGCCTCCAGTCCTAGGTGACTCACTCGGTATGTAACAGAAATTCCTCAATTCTCTCTTCTTGCAAATTAATTTTGAAAATTTAAGTTTTCCAATTTTTCTTAAAAAATTCAATACTAATTCAGGACTATCTATTACTAATAATTACACTGCAGGACCAACAAGAACAATCCTTTTAGTGCCCTCTTCAATCATAGCCGTCAGGAAAAGTGTTCTCGTGTAATGAACGCCAATAAAAATGGTCACATCGTCCAATGGACTTCCTGTGCGAGATAACATTCGTCGAAATGAATTGCAGTATGTATTTATTTCGCGGAGAAATTCCTTCGAGTGGTTCTCACGGGAGTGTTTCGCAGGAGATGGTTCCTGGAGCCACTGCGTATCAAATTCGATGTTCCCGGGTCGTCGAAAGAGGTCGGAATTGGAGATGACCGTTGTATCAACAACAGTGAACTAAGGCCACGATAAAATTCCACGTCGATGGATTCTTTCCTGGAACATGTACGTCGCATGGGAAATCCTGCTGGCCCGTGGGCGTTCGTACGTTCTCGTTTCACGAAATAAGATGCCTACCAGAGACATAGTATCATACAAAATGTTGACGATACGTTGAGAAAATAGACCACGTTTTTAATATATTTAAAAGTTATGTACATCTTCAATAAACAACCATTTACTTTTTTTGGATAAAAAAATTTCTTTGGTGATAATAATAAATAAACTCTTAAACATGAATGATTATTGATTGATAAGGTTAGATAAGAGTAGATGAATTCTCGAGAAGACATTAGCAATTCTCATTCATGCATGTTATCTCTTTCGACTTCTGTCATCGTTTGCGTAAACGATTTGTTTTACTCAAAATTCTTCTCCTAGGAATTATTAGGTGTAGAAATAAGTTATTTTCGATTTGTTGATAAAATAACAATTTTATTTAAAAAGAAGGTATAAAAAGTTAATCACTGAAATATTCGCCATTGTTTTCTATGATTTTTCACCACTTTTCTGATAAGTTACGAATTCAGTCGCGATAAAAACTGGATGAGTTTGACGCAATGTACTCGTCTAGGCATTTTCGAACGTCTTCAAGAATTTTGAATTGAGTGTCTGCTAAGTGACGTATGCGGCAGAAGTTTCTGAAGCCGTATGCAAGCGGGCGTGTCAACTTGCGTCTTCGTTGTCCAGATAACGGCCTTTTCCTTTCGATGGAGCCATTCAAATTCAAGAGTTGCTGTTGATTGCGGTCTGCAGTCTCTGTTCCTCCTGGATTAAGAAATTCGTAATACAGAATTCCCTTCATGGTCCCACCATATGCAACCAACTGAAATTCGTCGGTAAGAACTTATTTGCACAGCTAATAATATCTTATCGGTCACCGTATGTGTTCTACATTAAATTCGATAAAATTACGTCAAATGTTTTTCTTGGAAATATTTTTATGCTGATTTAAAAAAAGAAAAAACGCGCGGAGACGTGTTCGCGTTACATTCTCTGTAATAATGTTATCAGAAATTCTGCAGTCACGATCCCAATTAGTCATCGTGCAGTGCACGCGCGTTCTACCCGTCTAATAGAGCCGATCCGTGTAGGAAGACGACAAAATTCGAGGTAGCTGGATCAATTTATGACTTATGAGCCGGAGCGTGTCGTCCGCAGCCTGCCAATTATTTAATTCAGCCTTTCTCCTCATTTCATAGCTGCCTACTCGCTATTTCCACGACTTTCTTAATGCTCTGATCACGAGAAACAAATTGAATTAGATTGTATTAAAATGTACCTAAAGAAGAGAAAAATGGTATATAAAAAAATGATTGCACATATTTTTTTTTAAAGAATAACAATACTAGCGAAGGCAGTTTGCTTCATATCCTCTGTTAGGGTACGAATGATCTGCACTTCCGGTGTGCAGGAGACTTTACATATACGAAATTACGAGTAATAATACCGTCAATTGTTTTCATGCAAGTGCAACAATCGTCGGTTAGCTAGGTACACTTTATAACCTCCCTCAACGAGATGATGCGAATTAGATTCATCGGTGGTAATATGGCAAGTAGTTGCAATCTCATCACGATGGACGCCACTGCATCAATCCAAAACGGAGGAACTTCTTGCTAAATGTAGTGGCGAAATGCAATATAAAAAAGAAGAACAGAAGTTTCAGGCGTATGTTAAGTACCACTCTATTTTTTCGATCTGTGTTTCGTTATTGTAGCTTCATGGATTCCTACGACTTCTCTTATTCCAATTCTGCATTATTTACAATGTTAGCAATGTAATAATTGTAAGTTCTCAAGAAACGTGTGTTTTATTACTCCATATATCGTTTCCCATATTTCAAAATTACTTCTCCCAAATGAAAAAGCTTAGTCAGATTCTGAATACACGATTCGTTATCGATTATCGATTAAGTTCCTTTACAGTTAACCCATTTTAGCGCTGGCCAGCGCTTCGAGCTGTTGACGAATCACTTATACGGTGTGAATGATTGAATACAGTTTATTTATTTACGGCTTTTTATTATAATTTCGTGAATACGGTTATAAAGTTTCTTATAAAACTGTACGATCGCAAATGTCGCTGCCCTTTTTGGGACTGTATTTAAAACACATTTTTGGAAGTTATGAAAGGGAGAAGACTAGGAATGTGTTTGTTAAGGAAAAATCAAGCGTACGTGGAAACAGTGATAGGGTTTACTGGTGATTAGATCGAAATTTGGTGGGAAAATTAGAATGAAAGTTTCTTTTGATAACTGAGGAAGTCCGATAGTGATAAGGTAGGAATGTGTGGGAAGGACCAGAATGTATTGGAGTCAGAGTTTAGATGGAATTAAAATTCGACAGAGTAAAACAGGCTTCTCCCACTTCAGATTTCGTCGTCGCGGAAACCAAGCATTAAGGTACGTGTCCACTTGAGAGTACAGTAATGTTTCTCATAGTGTCCACCAGTACGGAACCTAAATAGGACAGTTTGAGAAGCAGGGACACTGTTTTCAAGCCTTGCAGCCTGCCTTTGTAGTTTGTCGAACAAAGATAAGTACAGCGAATAAAAGAAAAGTTGTGAACAATAAAAAAAAGAAAAATTTTTAACTTTTTCAAAAATTTTGTAAGCTGAAATATGTAGTTTTTATCAAAATATATCTTCGCTACAAGTTTCTGATAAATGATCCGAATGTAACCCTTTTCCCCAGACTGTCCACCGAATGGTGCCTTGATTCTCACACTGTCCACCGAATGGTCTTTCCCTCCACATTTGACGGACAATGTGTACAGATATTAATGTATTTTTCTAGCAATTCGTTTTTGTAATTCATCCAAAGTGATATATTATAAAATGAAATTAATCACTCAATAAGTATTAATAAGTAAATGTTGTTCAAATTATATCGTGTTTGATCTCATTTTCATCAAAAAAATCTCACCAACATGTTAAAAAATGTTTCAGATAAAAGAAAGGAAAATTAAAAAAAGTTATATTATTCTATTATGAACTGTCGAGCTGTGAAATCTCATAAAAACACAGGGTCATGTAGTGTTACACGCTTGACTGACTGCGAGCAAGATAACATAGACGCAGCAATGCACAGACCTAGGTGTAGGATCATCTATGCGGGCATTGTGAGAATCCAACTAGCGGACACTGTGGGACAATTTACTGTAAAACTATCGCAAGTTGCTCTCGATAGTTTTACTCTCAAATGGACATGTCTCTTTACTCTCAAATAGACACCTATTTAGCTTTACGTACTACTATATATATATATCTAAATATGTGTATATATATACATACGTGTGTATATCTACAGAACGCAGAAAAAAGAACGCGTATGGTATCTCACTGCTGGACAGGCATTAATGTAGAGACGACAAAGTCATATGACAGTACTAGCTTTAACTTAATTGATAAATCCATTAAAAAAATATTTCTATGAATTGCATAAATACTCGTCGAATAGTCACTGTGATTCAATGGTACCATAACTAGCAGGTGCGATTGACAATGAAAATTTGTTGTTTAAAGAAACATCCATTACAGGAAAGTTAAGTGCAGCCTTCCCGAAAATGGCATGCTATCGAGAATAAAAAGTGAAACGTAAAGTAAACAAGAAACTATCATTTCTGCGTCACCAAGGTATCTTCTTCACATCTGGAATCGCGAAACCAGGACCTCCAAAAATAAATGTTGTATTAATTGTACATAATGAAAATATTTGGAACTTTCTCGAATTATAAAGAGAAAAGAATTGTGAAAGTTTGTTATGGTAATAGGGGCACGTTCAAGGATCCTCGAAAGGACAATCGAGAAGGATGGATGGATCCAGGTTGCTTTTACGCAAAGGCAGGATTCTTCAACCTTGAGAACGAGATTCTGGCATGAATTGAAAATTCAAGATACACTTTCGTTCTAAACCTTAACACAACGTTCTGCGCCCTTCTGTTATTTTTCATTTGTCACTTGTATTTTTTTACAGATTTCTTACGCTTCTGCAATGTAGTACGCCACCATCAGAAAGGTACACATTTTTAAACAATCCTTTCTGTATTTCTTACCAATTTATCACACAATAAAGTTAACGCTTCCAACCTTAGTACTCGTCTAAAAATTGTAACGCAGTCTCTTCTCTGTACCAAAATATACATTAATGAAACGACGTATACTTCGTATATCCTTATATACACATACACCACAGGATATATGAATTTGTACTATCCTATTTGACTAAACCACATGTAGAACAGGAAACGCATTAATCTTACATTTCTGCAATCTCTCCAGGTTGTAAAAGTATCTCTTCTTATGTGTACCTTAAATGTTGCCATGTGAGTTTCAGATGGAAGATAATAGAATTCCATAAAAGTACACCACTTCTTATCATTAGTATAAATATAGACTCATGTGCATGCAATTGAAACATACGTAACCTAAATATACACAAAACATTATAGATTGTATTTCATTCAATATGGTTAATAAAATTCAATGAAAGTACTGTACAATTTTATTATTTGTCATTATGTATTTGCTTGCTCATGTGAACGAGAAGCAATAGAATTTTACGCAGGCGAGAAAGAAAGGCAGCCATAGTTCCTTGTCAGGCGAATGTTGGCAACGCTTGGATGAACAGCCGCCAAACTGGTCGAGTGAAGTCGTCGAGACGCTAAGAGACGCTTGGGCCGCGGACTACCTAGGTAAACAAAAGATGTTACGAGACGGCGTCGTTCATCACCAAGTCTGTAAAGGGTGAGTCTTGACGGCGACACTACTGGAGTGAACGACACGCGATCGAGTTGTAGATCGATTAATCTCACCTGTTGCTCTCGCGATCGCCACCGTCTGAGAATCGACAAAAATGCTCAAGTAAGCGAAGATATTTCCTCGTGATCTTTGTACCCCATAAACTGCTTTTTTTGTTTTTATTTCAAAAATTGAGTCTTCTGTGATATATATTTTTTATATTAAATTTCTGTCAAGTGTTTGTGCTATGTTTAGAGAGTCTATTTTTATTGGTTTTTTGCCTTTATATGAAACAAACGAGAGGAAGACTATCTTCTACTGTTGTGAGTGATATCAGAATTGCGAAATTTGAAATTTGTCGTGTAACGGAAAATATTTGATAAGTGTTAGTACAACGTTTGGAAACATGTATATTTACTTATTCTTTTATTCTAAATGAGTGAAACAAAGAGTACTTTATACTATAACAAGTGATAGACAAATACTGAAAAATTTTAATGAAAGAAATGGCAAAAATATGATTCTTCTCATTCGTTTCTATTGCTGACACATCTACCATATGTGACAAGCATACGCGAATCAGCAAAGTTGCATAGCATGACGAATTGAAAACTATACACACTTCCTCATTTTTAAAATCGTTCAGTCGAACGTAGGAATACATTCGTGTGAGTATATCACGTTTACGATCCACGTGCTATTTCCTATCTCCGTTAGTATCTTACAATCCTTTCACTTGACCGCATTGCGGGATTCGATCACATGACACTTACGATTATCGAAGAAAAAGTGATTTATCAATTGTATCAACAATCAACTCGAGATACACGTTGTAGTTTTCTATTTTCTTTTTACCTACAAAGTCGATGAAAAAATGTTACTTAATGACTTATCTATCTCTTATTTGAGATGATATATTTTCAAATAAAATATTATGATTTTATTTTTTGCATATTTTAGAGTATTTGTGATGTGATATGTAAACTAGTCGATAACGTATTTTTCTGCAATTGATCAACGTAAACTATTGATTTATGGATCGATGGCTAGGAAAATCAAAATGGAACATCTTAAAAGCGACATCGATCTGCACGTCGATAATCCAACGAAAAATGCGGAAAACTTAATCGAATGGAATGTTGACATGAAAGTGACAGTGTCTAACGTGAAAAAATCAAAGATGTTCCAAAGATCTCGCACGATAGTTCTTTTCCTTTTAGCAATTATTTTCGGTGTTTTATTGCTACACGTGAGGAAGGAAGTGCGATCCTTGCAAATACAAGTAAAAATTACAATAAAATATCAATTTTTTCGTGAACCAACAATCAATAATCAATTAGAAGAAAATAAAACAAAACATTATCTTTTTTAGGTGCAATCTATAAATGTAAATTTACTATTACTAATGTCCAAGTATGATAGGCTGAATCGAAGTTTAAATCGAGCTTGGATTCATAGGTCCGAAAGATTTCTTGAGAATCGAAATTTACATGATATGCAAAGATTACTTGAGGAAGCATCATCGATAACTAAAACTATTGATATTTTCGATAGAATTCGAAATGCGACTAATGAAAGCTCATACACTTATAATTCAATGGTTCAATACTTAAATCTAATGAGAAATCTGAAAGGGAAATATTTGTTACGCGGCGACGCTTATAGTGACAGTGATAAGAACAGTACTACGATTCCTAATTCATTGACAATGCAAGAGAATAATGAATATAACCTAAGTGATTCTACTCTACGATTTGAAAGAGCGACATTACCGTTAAAAAAGCGGAATTCGATGGAGAAAAATATACAATCGAATCATGGAAAGATTCAGTATGATAATGATACAAATGATTATTATAATGACGAGGACTTAGATGTATGGAGAGAACCCCGTACGAGAAGGATCAGAAGAGACGAGGGAAGAGGTAAAAAACGAGGAAAGAACAAAAGGCGGCCCAAACGTAGTCACAGGCGATTGGGTATTTAGTATTATTCAGTTAGCATGCGCTTCTATAACCAAAGGAAATTTACTATATCAGGAAAACTTTAATTTGTCCTGATCTTTATTTTGTAGTTTTTTTTAAATTAAGATAGTAATAAAGGTACCAAAAAATATTTGGAAATAAAGTCCAGGTCAAATTTTGATTTGCATGCGCTTGACATGCTTGCAAGTTTCTATGTTGATTCGTGATTTTGCTTAGCTAATATTCTCATGTTACTACACATAAAAATCAGAAAAATATTTTCTCTATTATTCAGGACCTTTAGTGGCAACATTTGTTGGAGCAATTCCTGAACAACATATCACAGACACAGGTATACACAATCATTGATTATAATATAAAGCATTAGTAATACTTTTCATTTTAGTTTACATTGGTCCATGGGTGAAAAGTACTAAAAACGATACTCAATATAGTTTAAATAAATTTCATCTGGTGGAAGATAAGAAATCTATAGAAGTTACAGTAACAGGTTTATATATGATTTCTGCACAGGTAATAGAATGCATGCATTACTATTTAGTACTTCAAATTAATTTGTTACATGAACTTTTACAATTATTTTAGATTTTTTACTTTGGTGAACCAACAAACTATTCTTATTGGATACTGTTAAATTCAGAAGGAAAATCCACAACACAGAAACTTGTGAAATGTTCTACAGCTTCTTCCGCATCAGCAACAGAAGTGTCCTGTTACACAAGTGTTATAATACCTTTACAAAGGGGGGACAGGGTTCACATACAGCAACAGGAGAGAGATAGGTAAGAAGTTCATTTTACAATTCAGTCGTTTATTTTATGTATTTAATGTCTATATAATTTTAGATTGATAAACATGCGAGAAGGACACAGTTATATACAACTTGTACTTCTATCTAACAATACTTCTAGGAGACGTGTACGGTAAAACGATATCACGATGTTTTAAGTTGTGCCATGAACAGTAACAAAGGAACTTAATATTCCGTAACTGTGATTTTACGATGAACGACAATCCAGACGAGAAATTTTATAATTTAAGATAAATTTTGTGCAACGTATACATATATTCTTTCTTATATGTAATATTAGTTTACCTTTTTGTTACTTTTTTATAATTAAGTTTAAATTTTATATACAGTTGACTTAAAAATGAGCAAAGACTGTACAAAAGAATAATGTTAGAAGTTATTTTTTATAATACAATTTTTTTTTTTTTTGGACAAATTACACTGACATTGTACTTTTGTACATTCGAGCTTTTATTTCAGGAATAAAGTAAATTAAAAATGTGATGTTATGTTTTAAGATTAATCGAAAGTTGTCTTATTGTTAAATATCGTTAAAATGATACTGCATGGTTAAACGATCATTCTAAAAGATTTAAAAAATAAAAACTTTCGTTATGTTTTACAGTACCTTTTTTACATCTTTTATTATTTCTTTTCTTTATACAAATAAAGTATAAATGATGTAAAAAAATGTATAAAAAATATCATACGTATTAAAGTTCCAAAAATTATTTGTACCATTCATATAAGCTGTGTTTTATTTTTAGAAAATATATTCTTTTATCATAGAGTATATCATAGTCAGTTTTATTGAACTTTATAAATCTCGTTAATTCAGTCTTTTCGAACTTATGTTGAAAAGCACGATATATTTTCGTACCTTTTTACAATACTCGCCAGTGTAAACTAAAAAGCACTTGAATCTTCTTGGGGAACAACGTCGATGCCAGTCATGTGGCACATGTTGCTCGGCTGACTCAATGACAGTACGACCATCTGTGACAGCATAGTCGTTATCAACCTATAGAAATTAATGATATCAAATTAGAGAGTAGTATATAATAGCAAAAGCAACAAAATATTATCAGATACCTATCGTTAACGCACTTATATTTATAATAGTTGAATCACGTTATACTTCATTATCAATTAAATCATAAAAACATATTGCATTCTTTAGATTTCCCTTCGTAAATATTCAGTACGTTCCTTCCCTGTTTGTATTTTCGTTTTATGAATCATACTTGGTTTTTTGTAAAATAACATGTTATTTAAAAGAATTTCGAGTGATCTCTCAATTGTTACCTTATCGTATATCATTGTTATGATTTAAAAACTGCTGCAGGTATCGCACGTATAAAGCGGTTCAATAATTAAAACTAAAAAAGATATGTTATTCATTGTATGGATTTACGTAGTTTTATATATATGTATAGTATTACGTACGTATGTACAGTGTTACATTCTGTACCTATAATGTATGTGTATACTTTTTTTTTAATTAAAATAAAAATTTGACTATTATTCAAAACCCTATGAGAAATAATGATTAACTATACACGGAAACTATAACCTACGTATTTTTTTAATCATTCCACTTTACACTCGATAGATGCAGATCTAAGTATTATTATCCTTGCTAACATTTGGTTTTGCAATAAATCGGTAGATTTGTGTTTTTTTTTTTTCTTATAAAAAACGGATAGATTTATTTTACTCACCTGAGTTTGGGTTGAGGTTTACTCGAACATTTGTCATTTAATATATACGAGCGTAATACATGTTAGCATAGATTTAATTCGTTACTCTTGTTGCTTGCTTTTCCATGATATTTTTATGTACTGTTTGTATTTTTATTTTTGTTTTAAACATGTTTTCTTTCTCTTTCTGTTCTGAGTATATATGTGTATATATGTACACAATATGACTAAGTTTTTGCATGGTAAATTGGAAAACAACATATTGAGTGATGCGTACTATTTACATTGAAAAAGAATTGCAATATTTTGAATCAAAAAAATTGGGTGCACCACAAAAAATACATCAAATTACTATTTATGTAGTACAGAGATCAATTCTTTAGAAAAATCAAACAAAGATTTCTAGTTTAATGAAATTACTATCATACACTCTAACAGAAAAAACAATATTTTCTAAATTTCAATTTACATGATACCTGATGCCATTGGACAATATAAATCTTTATCATACAGTTGTCATTTATTCATATAATATTGTTTTGTTATCAGAATCGGTATTCTCCTTGCTGGTATTCTCAACAGAGGGAAGATATTCTCTCATTCTTTCATTCTGTTCCCTAAGTATCTCAGGTTGTTGTTACGCCTGTGAAATAAACTTAGTTTTTGTCAAATTTTTTATATATATCTAGAATTGTCCATTGATGCTGTTACTATATATTGATAACATTGTATTTCATTCTTGACACAATAAATACTCTTCAACTGAACTGTATACAATAAAATAGAAAAGAATAATCTTTTTGTTGTGTTTTTCCACTTAGGCAATTATAAAAAATTTGCTTGCAAAAAATTATTATTGTTTTTAACAAAAGTTCATACCTACGTTTAGTTATACGAATACATTGTACTCATTTCGAGTTGAGTCATTTTAATGTATATGTGGTTTCCTACGGCAGTTGCTGGTTTTCCTTTTCATTGCTAAATCTCTTTACAATTCAGTCCATACTCTCCAATGTTAAAGGTAAGGAAATAATAAACGAGTGAAAGATATGACTATTTTTTTTTCATAGTTCTTTGTTTCAAAGTTTGTTTTTCATTTCATATGTTACTCTAATACTTACAATATTAAATTGATTCACTATCACTATACTGATGACATGCGACAATGATTTTAACACAGTTTAAATAGTTTCATAGTTGTTTATATAATCAACAGAATATAAGGTCACATTGTCTGCCCTATTTAGAACGACTCTGTACTCTAATGTACACAATTGGCTGGGACAAATGTTTTGTAAAGCTACTCATGCAAATTGAGCATTGAATAATTACATTGTTTTTCAATTTATTATAAATACCTATTTTTTTAATATTTTTAATTGCTAGTATTTCGTTTTGATTGTCTCTGCCAGTGTGACATTTCAATATATGCAATATTATTTATCTTAAAATAAATTCCAAAGATCATTACTAAGATTAGAACATTTTTCAAATGACAGCAAAACAAGAATCTTCTGTCACCTCTAAGCAGAGCATTGTACACATAGTTACACGCAAATTGCGCTGTATAGGTTAAAATATACGAAACGAAATATCACAACAGTAGGACTGGTCTATGAATATTATAAAGTTGGTGCCTGTAGAAATAGTTTCAGTATTGAACGCATACTATTAAACGCATAGTAAGGGGGGCAGTATATATATATATATATATATTCTGATACAAGATTATTGTTTTTGTTTGATTCATGGTTAAATGTAAACGAAATACACGACAAAATACAATTATTTCTTGTTTCTTTTCTTACACAGAATTATTAAGATATCAACTGTCTACACCTAGAGTTCTTTAGTGATATATTGAGCTGAGTGTGTACACAATGATCAACTGATTACTGAAAACTTTACAAACGGTGTAAATATCTTTGCCCGTGTTATTACAATGAAGACAATTACGATTTAATTAATATTTCACAATCGCAAATTAGTTTGGAAAGTAACTGTACACCAACTAAACTTAAACCTAAGCAAACTATCTGTTGTTTAGCCAAACATGACAAAAAATTGATGCTATACTGCTATAGTCAAGTATAAAACGCTCGTGTCATTTATACTTTTTCTCTTTTTAATCATAATCAAACAATTGTTTACGCTTAACGCGCAATTCATTGAGTCTTCCATGCGCGCGACAAAGATAGAGAAAAAACCATAAAAATCTCATTTTAGAATGCATCGTTATTCTCATTTCTTTTTCCTTTCATCATTTTAAATGTAAAAGTCTTTCTTCCATTACTGTATTAAAATTGATAAAAAACACTTAGTGTTTCCGACAAATGATATTTGTCCAACTTTTTCACGCGCTAGGAACGATTTTTGTCGTTTTTCTTTCTTTAATTTGGAAAAAACGTATGCATCTAATATATAAAATTAAATAAGTTGAATGTGTAATTTTAATAACGACGCTGAGACTGGGCGTTTTGGTAACCAGCACTGCCACCTGTAAACAACCATAGCTCCTCCGTTCAATCATCTTTTAAGTATTATAGCTTTCTTATTTGATTCTGTACTTAAGTTTATATTATGTACAACGTTAATTGTCATAAAAATTGAGGAACATACACATATATTAACTTTCCTTTTGTGGGTGCATCTTTCATTTTGTTATTACTATTATATAGAATATATTCTTAAATTTTATGATTTGTTATGCTTCAATATTGCAAAAATAAATCCTACAATAATATGCTTTACATTTATCACTTGTTTTGTTCAAGAGTTATACTTTGTTACCAAAACTACGATGTCTTTCGACTCACTACGATTTTATTTCTTGCAATTAATGTTGAATTTCATTTCACTTGTTTCTCATAAATATATGAATAAAAGATTCACAATGGAACTTCATTTTCTGTTTTTTCTTAAATATCTCTCTTTTTAGGCTAACAAATATGATCGTTTTCTTGCCGATACGTTTAAAACGGGTCCTAAATGTTTAGTATACGATAAAGAGTTGCCTCTCGGAAGTTAAAAAACTCTTTTAGATTGTAAATTGTACTTACCATAATCCTGTTTTCCGTATACACCATCTTGACTCGAGTAATCTGCAATTATAATAAGCGAAAATTATGATTTGTCAATTAATAGTGGTTCGACTACTATGGATGTGACTCAGACGAGAAAAATCTGTAACCCACTAAATTGAAAATTTCAGTTACACATTTACCTACTCAAAATCGAACCTCATAGGGCACAAATTTGTTCAGATGTAAAAATACTGATGGTAGAGTGTCATTCTGAAGTGAAGAATGGCAGGAGGCAGTGCGGCAGTGCTGGTAGTCGTAATGTCCGAGTTTCTCTTCACCTTACCGATTTTTTTTTTTTTTTTTTAGGAGTAGTTATGAAACGCAACTTTTTCGAATTAAAAAAATAAGGGACTCAAAGAAAGGAAAAATGGACATGCTTGACAAAAACAAAGTTCCAATCCCTTTATACTAAAGCGTTTCTCGTCTGAATCGATTGGTATTCGAGCGTAATATGTGCAAACGATTAAAGTATATGAAAGCAAGCCATTGTTAATCAATACCCTGATTTCCCCTCTTTATGTTCAGATGAAACCGAGGAAAAGATATTAATACGTGATGTAAAATGTGGTGTCGAACGGAAAAACTAACCATAAAGTTGCGTTGAGTAACCACCCCTGTTGCTCATAGAAATGGCATTAGAAGATCGGTCATCATATGGGTTAGTAGGGGCAAAACCTGCACCCCCACCCCCAGCAACTGCTGCTACTACCTCTTGCTGGTAATTGGCTGTGCACGCAGTATATTAAATTAATTAAACCACGACTTTGACAATGTAATCTCATCCTTGAGAAAAAGTTACGAATTTTTTGTGCTGTTTCTTGGTATTGTTAAAAAGTTCAAGCCATGCAATTTTCATATACTAACCTGATGGTGGTGCTTTGCTGTAACTATAAGGATCACCAGCACTGAAAGCTCCTGTAGCTGGCACAGTAGGTGCTCCTCCATACCTATTATCAGCAGCTGCTGATGGTGGATAACCCTGAAAAATTGAATAATATTGTTTTTACATATTATATCCATTTTCGTTTTTTCTTTATTCATAACTAAAAAGAACTTACAGCTGTTTGACCATAATCTGGAGGTTGTTGATAACTTTCATAGCCCTGATATGATGATTGAGTGTAATTCTGTGATCCATAGCCTCCACCATATCCCACTGGCTGTTGCTGTTGTGGTTGTTGTTGTCCTCCACCATAGGCATTACTAGTACCCCCTCCGTATCCACCTTGGCTGCATCAGATTTTTACAAATATGAAAATGTATACATCACATTTCTACAAAGTTAATTGAAGATAACAATTACCTTGGTGGTTGAGTTGCATAGCCATTTGCAGGTTGTGAAGACGGTTGATCGAATCTCGGCCTTTTAGACGGTCCGCTTGAGCCTGGTGGTCCACCTCCTCTCTTTGATGGACCACCACGACCACTACCTCCTCTGCTTCCTCGATCTCCAAAGCCTCCTCTTCCACCTGGACCACCTCTACCTGATCCTCCCCTAGAAATAAATGAAAAATTAGTAACAGTTTGACTTACATAATTTAATAGTTATTATATAAATACCTAGACCCTCCTCTGCTGCCTCTATCCATTCCTCCTCGTCCACGGAAATTGCTATTACCTCCACGATTATCTCCTCTACCAAAATCACCCCTTCCTCTTGCACGGAAACCACTGCTTCCCCCTCCTCTGCTACCACCACGTGGTGGACCTCCCATTCCTGGTGGTGGTGGACCACCACCACCAGGTCCACTGGACATTCCTGGTTCTGGTAATCCTCTAATGCATCAAAATATATTAATCGGAAAATAAAACATTATCATTACATAACTGATATTTTAATGAATAAATACCCTGGAGGAAAATGTCCACCCCGGCCACCTCTACCAGGAGGACCACCTCTACCTCTCATTCCAGGTGGTCCACCTCTCATGCCACCACCAGGTCCACTACCACGACCACCTCTCATCATACCTCCTCCTCTTGGAGGACCACCCCTATCAAAACATCAAAGTTTTATATTTTATCTCATTTTTTGTACAAATTTGGTAAATCAAATAAAATTATGTTGTCAAAGTGCACCATTTTCTCATGATTTTACGCATACATCTATATTTATCAAGTTATGTACGCCGTGTATAAATATATCGGTAGTAAATACAGCAGACTTACCTTCCCCTATCCCCGAAACCGCCGCGGCCCCTCATAGGGCCGCCCGGACCACCACGACCACCACGAAATCCACCTCTACCACTTGGCGCGCCTTCCATTTATCGCAGTATCTAATAATTACAACAAAATTAAAAAATGTGCAACAAATACTCCATGAACTATAGTTTAGACTCTGTCTAAGATTTTCCAGAGGGTCTAGAATCTTTTCCTCTCTTACCACCGTTTCCTTGATATACGGAAAATGTTGGAGAGACAATATAAAAAGTTCAAATACAATACATATTACAATACTATCGAAATGTACTTACGTTTTACTTATTGCTAAATAATCCGTTCATAAATGCAGAACGCGCCAATCTTACACAAGCCAACAATGAAAATGGACGCCGGTTGCCGGAAAAAGAAGCATCGACCACACCACTCAAATTACCACACTGATACAACCGGATATCCTTTTTATTACGATGCATTCTCATTTAATATTATATGTATTTAAATTGCAAATCTTATCCAAAAATAATACTTGATTTAATCCAAATAATATTCTATACTTTTTAACTTTTTAAAAAATGTCTTTTTATTAATGTATTTACTTGAATTCTGATGTCGGTTAACATGAAAAAATAAGTTTACTATATATGACCTTTTAGACATAAATATCACACGCTATACATATGTTTTATTAAAATATAGAACGATATACATTTGAAATTATTCATAGAATATAATACAAAATGAAAAATTAAATATTTGGGGAATATAGATCGTGACGATTCTCATGAAAACACGTCATTATATCGCCTTACGTATAGTGAATAAGTGTGTATAGTTGGTCATGCGCGCGGGTAAATACGGGATTGGTCAAGAAACTGGGATTTAAATATTGAAATCCGTTGCTTTTCTTTCGCAAGATAAAAACAGTAATTTATACCTGGAAAGAAAGTTTGCGCCGAATATACTTCTTTTTGTGAAACATACAAGTAACGCAAGTAATATTGACCGGAACGCGAAGTTTCACATTTCCTATTGCACGAGCTAGCGATAAAAATAATATAAGATGTCGAAAGACGAAAAGGAATGTGTTATTCCAGACGTGATATACGATGTAAACTCGGGAAAAAGTTATATCAAGGGACGATTTTTTGGAAAAGTAAGTTGTTTTTCTTAGCTCCGATTTTTTTTACTTCGGAGCCTAAATGCGAGTTACATATTTTTTTGTTGAAATAGTGTCTCTACAGTGATAGACAAAAGTATTCGCACACTATTTAAAACGTTATAACTTTTTTAAAATTGGACCAAACGATTTGAGTTTTTTTGAGAAGTTAGAAAGATTAGTTTACTAGATGACATGTAAAAAAAATTATGAAGGAACTGCAATTAGTCGGAATCGCGAAGAAAATAGCGAAGGTCGCTTTTTACAACTTTTTTATCTGAGCTCGTAATGAAAATTTAAAAAATACGTTTTGGAGATCTATGTCAATTATACACACGCTGAAAATTTCATCGAAATCGGTGGAAGGAAAACAAGCGACAGGCATCGAAAGATGTAAGAATCTTCAGATTTATTAGTGAAATAGTGCAATTTTCACAATCTTTAACTGTTTGTAGTTCATAGCAACATTAACCGATTTCGACGAAATTTTCAGCGTGTGTATAATTGACACAGATCTGCAAATTTTCATTACGAGCTCAGATAAAAAAGTTGTAAAAGCGACTAATTGCAGTTTTTTCAAAATTTTTTCTACACGTCATCTAGTAAACTAATCTTTCTAACTTCTCAAAAAAACTCAAGTCGTTTGGTCCAATTTTAAAAAAGTTATAACGTTTTAAATAGTGTGCGAATACTTTTGTCCATCGCTGTATGTACTGCAACCTCCACCACTTGTTGCTTTTTTTAATGAATTTTCTAAAATTTCATATAAAATTTGTATTATAAGAAATTAATTTAATTAGCTTTTTAAATTTTTTGGTTACAAGTTAATGTCCATTTGTTTTTCTTTTTACTTACATTTATCATTTTATGTGCTACAGAATATGCAGACAATATGTAAAAAGTTCTTGCATCTTGTGTTTCTGTATATTCTACATATTTGACACTTTGTAGGGTGGTTTTGCAAAATGTTACGAGATCAGAGAGTCAAAATCACATTGTGTGTTTGCTGGAAAAATTGTGCCCAAGTCACAAATTACAAAAAGCAATCAAAGAGAGAAAATGACACAAGAGATCAGCATTCACCAAACTTTAAACCACAAGAATGTTGTTGGATTCTATGGTTTTTTTGACGATCCTCAAAATGTATACATAATATTGGAGTTATGCAGGAAAAGGGTAAGTTGGTCTTTATATTTCTTTAATTAACTCATCTCTGATTGAAGTAGTTATTATAATTTCTAGTCAATGATGGAATTACACAAACGCAGAAAAGCACTAACAGAATGTGAAACCAGATATTATATGAAGCAAATTTTAGATGGTGTGAATTACTTGCATCAAAATAAAATAATTCACAGAGATCTAAAATTAGGTAACTTATTTTTAAGTGATGATCTGCAAGTGAAAATTGGTGATTTTGGATTGGCTACCAGACTTGAGCATGAAGGGGAACGTAAAAAGTAAATGTTCTATTTCACTTAATATCTGTTTAAATATTTCAAGTAAATTATTATTTGTATTTTGCTAATAGGACACTGTGTGGGACACCTAATTACATAGCACCAGAAATTTTAACCAAGGCTGGTCATTCTTATGAAGTAGATATATGGAGTATTGGATGCATTATGTATACTTTGCTTGTGGGAAAACCTCCATTTGAAACATCAAGCTTAAGGGAAACCTATAACAGAATCAAACAAGTTCAGTATAAAATTCCCACGCATATCAATACAATTGCAATGAACACAATATCTAATATGTTACAAGGGAATCCATCCCAACGTCCTTCCATAACAAAGCTAATGAAAGATCCATTCTTTGCATGTGGTAAATACTGTTACATTTTGTAAGAGAATTAAATCGTCATCATCATGAGATTTTACTGATAATTTTTTCAATCTTATTGCAGGTTATATGCCAGTTAGTTTGCCAATTTCATGTTTAACAATGGCTCCTCGCCTAGATATGCTAGAAATGCATAATCAACGTAAACCATTGTCTGAAATGAACACTAACATAGGAGGAGAGGGACAAGACTTTATATTCCGTGTACCTAATAGTCCAGCGCGTAAAACAAAACCTACAGATGCAATAAGTGAAGTTCAAAAAATAAACCTTGACATTAAAAAGATGCTTGAGACGTTGAGAGAGCAGCTGGCTGCTGTATTAAAATCTAAACCAAGTAGAGAGACCACTTCGTCACCAGGTACAATCAACCAAGGATTAAATATTATCACGTTTTGCATGGATGTTGTCGTTTATACTAACGGAAATTATTTTCTAATGCCAAATATTCAGAACCCTATCAGATTTTTATAGAAACTTCGATCATGAATCTCTATTCTCCTTCTGTTTTTTGTATCTATTAAAGTTAGCGCTTATTTAGTAGTAATAATATTGTATGAAGTTTGAATGATGATATAATTTGGTTCGTTTATAACTGTGCAGATGAAATGACGGATCCAGCTGCACAACCTTTAGTATGGATAAGTAAATGGGTTGACTACTCGGATAAATATGGTTTCGGATACCAACTTTCCGACGATGGTGTGGGTGTGATGTACAATGACGGTACCCGATTAATAATGCTGGCTAATTGTTTTAATATTCACTATATAAATCGCGAGGGAAACGAATTGTATTATACAGTCAAAGAATACTCACTAGAATTAGAGAAAAAAATGAAATTAATGAACTTCTTCCTGAAATACATGAGGGAACACTTGATGAAAGCCGGAAGTTCCGTTGCCGTGAAACCATGCGATGCCATGTCTAGAATACCGTACATACATCAATGGTTTAGAACACAGAATGCTGTAGTTATGCAGTTGACTAATGGAACAGTACAAGTGAGTACAAAAAATGATATTCTCGCTTAAGTTTTGGAATTTTTATGTGATAATTTTAATTTATGGAATTTCTTATATTTTTCAGATAAACTTCTTGGATCATACAAAAATTATTATGTGTCCATTAATGGCGGCTGTCACATATATAGACACAGAAAGGAATTTCCGAACTTACAGATTCCAGACAATTCTAGAGAACGGATGTTGTAAAGGTTTGGCTAAAAATTTGGCATACGCCTACGAGAAACTTGTACTAATGTTATCGAATCCACAAACTCGATAATTACTACTACTATTGTTATTATTATTATTACTATTATTATTAAAAATTTAATCGGTTTAGAAAGCAAAACAATTCTGATATAGTATATTTTAGAAGTATTATACTTTTCTTTTTAGTAAAAATAATGCCTTTATACTCGGCACGTAACAAAATACAACTAAGTATATTTTATTTTTATTTTATTTTGTAAGGGTATATAAGATTTTTGCTACGTGTTTTTATTGCAACATCCACACGAAACGTCTACAAATTATGCGAATAATTGAATTATTGCAGAGGTTCTTTCTTCTCATGAAAAGACCTCTTACGACTTTTTTTTATCACTAGACAATTAAATTGTAGTTATAGTCCTCTTTTTTTGTAAAGACTCATATTTTGACAATTTTTATGAATGAACGAACGTCGAATTTAAGTACTTTGTCACGATAGTCGTTACTCCATACAAATAACGATTGTAAAAAGTAAAAAAATGCCCATGGTAATTGTCATCTTTGATGGAGTAGTGCAATTTAACACTTGTATATGGAATAAACATGCGAGGAAGATGACAAGCGATCTAATCTTCGATAATAATCTAAATCGTGCGCATTTGAAAAAAGAATTTATTCCTTTTCATTTCATTGTCATTTGACTAAAGTTAGGTCCGTTGATGCGTGTGTAGAATATACGTGTGCGCATTATGCATCGTCAAAACGTACTGAAATTTATTATAATAATTTTCTTGTTCTTAGAAGAGTAGATAAAAATTATTTCTTAACCTGTTAAAGTATGGTATAGTACCTAAGTAATCGTAAAAATGAAGGTTGAAATAAAACGAGCGGTGTCAAAACGTACGATAATATTTATAAGACTTCAAATTCATATTCTAAAGATCGCTTTAACATATAAAAAGAAGAGAATATATACAAATGTAAATACAAGAATCTTGTGGTACTATACATAATATATCGTATAAGCATTTATTGTATTAAAAGTAAAATTGTAACAATAGTATTATTTTTGTAAGTAACCTATGATATTGTTTTGAAGATAAAATAAACTGTTTTCATTCTTAAAATCCTTTTATTCGAAGTTTTTATGTTGAATTAATTTTCACTTTGATTTAGGTTAGGTTAAGTTTACACTTGGATCTAGTTGGATAGTATTCTTCCACGCGTACGTTACGTACCGTAATTTTTATTACAGCAATACATATATCCACTTCAAAGTTTTATTAAAAAATATACATACATTTTTTTCATTCAATTATAATAAAAAATACAAAGAATTCATAAAAGCGAAAAATAGGTCGATTGTGAGAATCTACATTAATCTTAACTTTGTTACAGCATAAATTAAAATATTACAATTGTTTAATCATTAACGATACAGATTACGTAGGATTTTGAAAAATATAACAGTAATGAGTGTAAAAATGTAAACGATGCGCGATATTATTAACGTAATAAATACAAGTGGATCGTAAACGAATGCAATGGTGTTAGTACACATCAGAGAGTAAAGAGGCAAGCGTAGGCAATGCGAGGACAGGGTTCAGTAGCGGTGCAGGCTCTGCGCCAAGCACGCGTACGTCGTTTGAATTGGTTGACACGTGTTGCCTGTTATAATAAAGCAAATCTAATTTGTAGAATGTGATACGAATCGGTGACAATTCTCGTAGAACAAAAAACAACCAGTACCGTCACAGAGAGTGAGTAAAAACTTTATGTAACGTACGTTTCGCATGCATATGCCTTATTTGTCTGCTCTCAATCAAAGTTCCCTCCGGAATCCTGTACGAAATGTTGTCCCATTAAACATTGAGGCCATTATATGCACTACACCCAGGTATTCTTACCTCTTGAGCTGAAAATATCTCTACTAGATTACTTACAAACCATGAGTAAACGTATTCGAAACAAATTTTCAAAGTAAACCCGACTTATTATGTATACATTGTTGCGATAACATTTGAAGATTTGCTCTACAAGGAAATTAAGTTTGATATTGATAAATAAAAGAGAGTGATCAGAAAAATTGGTCGAGTGTTACCGCTTAATGAGAACCACGTGTTTTCCACGAAATAGTTCAATGGGCATTCGTTCTAGAAACGAAATGTCGATTTAATTTACCATCATAGGAATCGTACGTCTATGGAGGCTGAAAAAAGTATTCGTTGATTGATGTAAGATGCTGCGAGCTGTTGTTGCCTATACGAGCTATTCTTGCACGAATTAAATCGAATTGAAAGGAACAGTGTGCGGTATATCACTGCTGTGTGAACGTACACGTCACGTGTCGTCTACAATTGACCCATTCTCAACTGCACTTCTCTCTGTCTCGATAACGATTTCGCGAGGCATCATTTAATGCGACCATTAGCCCAACCACGTTATACAATTACAAGACGTGACTCACATTATTAAACAGCGGTCCACGATTAATAACAACAATAAGTCACGCAATAATTATTTTTAGACGTCAACCACTAGAGAATCTTTTATCTATGTGAAAACACTCATCGAAGTATGGTGCTTGGAAAGTTATTTTGTAGTTTTGACATTTTTATGCGTTGTTGCGGTACAGCAGAGTGGTAATAGTGCGGAACTTAATTTTTCGTTGCATAATACGGTTTCGATTGTTATTAAGAAACTTTCTTACTTTATTTTAACAATTTTTCGTTACTTTATATTTTTGTTACAAATTTAAATTAAAGCCAGGTTTCATTGCTTCGTAGTTTAAAAACGCTACTTACTAAATATGACAGAAATAATGCAGTCATTATTGAACTTTCCAAAGTCATAATTTAAGGATCGTCATTTTGGTACAAGTATACGGGTATTCTTATTTCGTTTGCATAAATTTGCTAAAGCCTTCGGGATAGTTGAGAATGACGGTTCGTTTACCTTCATCGTAAGTTGTTTTACGACACCGCGTGTACACATCCGCATATATCGAATAGAATCAAGGATTACAGTGTTACGGTTACGTTTAGTGACCGGATCGAGTTTCTTCTTTTTCTTTGTAGTGGCTACAATTATGAATCAACATTTTTTACTTTTTATTTATATCAAATATTTTTAAATCAATTGTAAATCACGAACTAATACATAACTGTAGGGTAATATGCAATAGCCAGTAAAATCCAAGAAAGTTTGTAGAACTGATAAAAGTATAATAAATGTCATGGTGCAAAATTGAATTATTGCATGTTCATTGCATTTCTTGAAAAATTTTCCACCGCTATAAATAACAATGTATGCACATCGATGACAAACTATCAATTTTATATAGTTTGTCCAATACAATACTGATACAAAGAATAATAATAAAAAAAAAAATGTTTTCATTAGTGGTTCTATTTACTTGTTCACTTAATTTAGATGGGTTATATAAAGTTATATAAGTTCAGCAATGCTGTTGTATACGTTATGGAAAATATAGAATTCTTTGCTGAATAATCATGATGAGTGTAGTTTTATACGCTTGGCAACCTTGTGTACCATAAACCAGTGACGATGTACAACTTGTATAACGAAAGCATACAACAAGATTTATTTGCGTCTGATAAGAATTAACTTAGTTTCAGGAACTGCCATTTTCCCACCTCCTTTATATACACACTACATACATATAAGCTAAAGATTTTCTAATCTTTCTGTTTTATGTTGATTCGAGCAAATGCAATCAATTGAATATGACATTAATGCTGAATCACGAGTCACATGAAGATTATTGGCACCGCTTTGCCTTTGCCCCTGTTTATACAGAGCAAAATTCGCAAAAGTATAACAATTGACTTGTTGGGGTGATTTTCAATAAAAATGTCTTATGACCTTTTTTCGTAACTTTTTATTAAACCCCCATATCATGTTTTATAATTTCTTATTGACTCAAAAATTTGAATAATGCTGTGTATATATATAAAACCTTCTATTTTTTTCATTCTAAATCATTTTTTACGCCATAGAAGTAATAATGTTTTTAACACGAATGTTATCGTTATTGTTGTTCACGGTATTCTAATACCGTCGCGAACTTTCCGCGTATTAACACGCCGCGTTTTATCTCTGATTGAGCGACAGCTTCGTGTTTGAACAGCCTAAAGATGTTGCCTGGTGAATTAAAAACGCGCTGACGATTGCAACAAATTACTCAGTTCATTATAATTTAGTTCGACGTTTTAACACGTGCAGTGAATTTCATTTCGATCGATGTTTTTTTAAAATTCAATCAGAACACTACGTCTTTTTACGTAGTGCATACATATAGTGTGTGCAATGTCAGGCAGTGCATTAGAAGCACTAATGTAAGAGTATCTAGTATACTTGTTAAAATCCGACCGGAGAGTAATCTGTTTTTATCAACATAAGTGTAAGACTTACAATAATATGATAATCTACAAGTGTGCACTGGTAATTCGATGTGATAACAGTTATCGAATCATCAGTTCTTCACCACGAATCGAATTTATTGATTTCTATGTTTTACTTGCCCACAACTGTTTCACTAGTGCGTCTCCAATTGTTATACATTTTCCCGCCAATTTTTGTTACGAACCTACTTTAAACGACCACAGCTACCGTCATTGTCTGCATATGTAACACACCATGTCAAACCATTGTCACGACCTTCTAACCGTTGTTTGAGTAGTGACGAAGCAAGTAGGCGAGATAAAGAGACGAAACCGAAGCGTACGATCCCAATATGATACATGATCTCTTTTTGTTTTAAATACAGCTGCTCGACCGACACACGCTTTACTTTTCTCTATGGTATCGTCCTATACGTAAGCAGAAACGCAGAATAACCGAATTGGTCAAATCTTCATCTGCCAACAATTTATCGACGGGAACTTCTTGGATTTGCGACTATTATCAAAAGATCTACAATCGTACTTGTATCGTGTAAATTTTCAAGTGATTGTTCTATTAGTCAGCAATTAGCCTCCTCGCGAAGAGAGCTTTCAAACAGATAAGCTATTTGAATGATAACGGCGTGTGTATCGTGAAAAACGTTTCTATTTCCTGTTCTTTGATTCACCCTTGCAATTACCATCGAGTTTCTTCTTTTCCACGGTTGAACGGTGTTTTGGTCAGTGATCGAAATATTAGTGATCAGCGACGAGTTAATGCGGTGCATCGGAGAAGATGGATTCGAGCAATGTGAAATCGAAACCAAATCCACGGGAAAGGGCGAGCTTATTGTCGGTGCTGCTTTGGTGGTAAGTTTGCATAGATTTACCTTTACCTGTTTGGTAAGGCAGTTTGTTTCTTTGTTGCCTCACATGTGTTTAGGGATTCAAGGACCAAGTGACATTGTAGATTGTTTCAAACATGTGATGAAAGTGCAGGATCGTTTCGAGTCTAATTTTGAATTAGTATTATTCAATGAGAATAAGATTTAAATATATTATCACGGATAAATTTAGAAGATGAATTACAAATAGTAGAATACAAAAATAGATCAAATATTATCATCAAATATTCAAATTGATGAAAAACTGGTAAATCTTTAATATATTTTTCAAGATTTATTGGGAACGTTTCATAAAAAAAAAAATAATTGCCTGTCCGTAGCCACGTCATGCGAGATGATTTTACCTTCGCAAAATTGTTTCCGTTCCTTTTGTTTCCTTATCGCGAGTCACAAAAAAGTTTAATGTATAAACAACTAAGATTTCGAGCGACGTTTAAATCATCCAAGATTGAGAATTTGCTTTAGAAGAGTAATACACCGTGCCTTTTTATTTTATCTACACCATAATTTTCGCGTAATTGCTCTGAGGTAATTATAAAATAAATAAACCGCCGTAAGGTGTTAACCGTTAACGAGCGAATATATGCGATTCTGCAGTATCATCGGTTGTTGAAAATGACCGACTGCGCGAGCGTTACACCATTAAATATGATTACTTGTTTTCACGTTAATGCCCATGCTAAATTACTGGTCACGTCTAATGGCACGCAGGTGGACGATAGATTTGTTCAAGACTGGCTACAGGAAGGTACTGCAAACGGATGACCTGTATAATCCACTGAAGATTGACCGATCAAACATACTAGGAGATCGACTAGAGAAGTTGGTATCGATATTCGATTTAAAATATCGAATAAATGATCGTGAATGAAAAATATCTAACACATAAAATATATGATTTTCAGACGATGGAAAATCGAATTAGAAAATTCGAAAAAGTACAGAAGAAGAGCCAGTCTACTGAGAGCCATTTTTCGCACTTTCATATGGGAATACACCGCCCTTGGTTTAATACAGATATTGAACGAATTTTTTATCCGGTAAATTTTTTTTAACAAAATTTCATCAAACGTTAAAGAAATAATGAATGAATTGGATATTGATTTCAAGGTTAGGGACACCGATACTTTTGGGCGGTCTGTTGCGCTACTTCAAGAAGGACACGCATGAGACTTATGAAACAGCGTTATTGTACGCGGCTGGAATTTGTCTAGCAACGGCTGTAAACGTGATTACGCTCAATCAAGCGATCTTTGGCGCCTTCCATGTTGGTGCCAAGATCAGGGTCGCCACCTGTTCCGTTGTGTACCGGAAGGTAATGCAGATCAAGGAGATTTAATAATGGTTAGACTACTTTGGTACAATAGTCGTGTTATATGAAATGATAATGTTATTTTTTTTTTTATGTAATAGGCACTGCGCCTTAGCAAAACAGCATTGGGAGAAACGGCACCTGGAAAAGTGGTCAATTTAGTGGCCAATGACGTGAATAGATTTGATCTTGTCTCTATCTTCATTCATCATATGTGGTCTGCACCACTCTCTGCATTGGTCATAGCTTACTTTCTTTACATTGAAGCTGGATACTCTGGTCTGATTGGTATTGCTGCAGTATTTGTTGTCGTGCCGATTCAATGTGAGTTTCCGGTAATGATAATCATATTATCAAGCTGGATAAAGTCAAATGTTTGCATTTGTAGATTATTTTCAATTAACTTGTAAAACATTTATCACTGTTGATGAATAATATAGAAGAATAATACACTAACTCTCCTCATCGTTAAGAATTGACGTTTATTGACAATAATAATATTAGAGAAAAACATCGGTCACAGTTAATAAATACATATAGGCAACGGAAATCAGTACAAAAGACAGATTTAGCCACAGTGACTAAAAATAAACACGCAAATGCAAAGATTTGAACTTCACACTGGGAGAAATGTAAACAGCAAAACATGCAAAATGCCACTGGCCTGTTATGTAAACCTCTAATGGGTGATTTATGCTTTTCAGCATACACGGGCAAGCTTTCTTCTATATTTAGGCTGCAGACTGCTATAAAAACAGATGAAAGAGTCCGGCTGATGGATGAGATTATATCAGGAGTTCAGGTGATCAAGATGTATGCCTGGGAGAAGCCCTTCTGTGCCTTAATAGAGACTGCCAGGAAATGGGAATTGCAAGTGGTCACTAAAAGTGCTTATATTAGAGGCACTTACATGACCTTCAACCTGTTCACCACGAGAATGGCTCTTTTTTGTACTCTAATTAGCATGCTCTTGTTTGGAAATGAATTAACAGCTGACAAAGTCTTCGTTTTCTCTTCATACTTCAATATACTGGCACATACTATGTCTGGAATGTTCGTGAGGGGTTTTGCAGAGATTGCAGAATGTATGGTGGCTGTGAGGAGGCTGCAGCACTTCCTGATGTACGACGAATTTCAGGAGAATGGATTTACCTTGAACAAATTTGCTGTCAGTCTCAATGGTAGCATTAACAGTATGTCTAAGCAGACTTCCAATAAAACTTCCAAACCTGATATACCATATATCGATGATGAAATAGATACTTATGAGAATTTGGATGATTCTTCAGAAAAAAGGAGGCATAATGGCCTGGTAGTCGTTGCCAGTGATTTGTTAAAAAATACAGCCAATCTCATGGGAGGTAAGTACTCAATATTCAATATCAAAATGTTAAACGATTTAAATTATGCTTCAAAAATTTTTATATAGAAAAGAATCGTTCCTCTATGATAAATGAAGAGCCGCATGCAGTGCAAATGATAAATGTAATTGCCAAATGGGAACCAGGCCAATCTGAGAACACTTTGGGGGGTCTAAACTTAGAAATACAGAAAGGAAAAATGTATGCTGTGATAGGTATGGTTGGAGCTGGAAAAAGTTCTTTCCTATCTGCGATTCTTGGGGAAATAGACGTGATAGAGGGCCAGGTGAAAGTAAATGGAAGTTTAAGTTATGCTGGACAAGAAGCTTGGGTTTTTGGGTCTACTGTTAGACAAAATATTCTTTTTGGACAACCCTATGATCGTCATCGATACCAGAAGGTTATCAAGGCTTGTTCTCTTCTTAGAGACTTTAAACAATTTCCACAAGGTGATCAAACTGTTGTAGGGGAGAGGGGCAGCTCTTTATCTGGAGGACAGAAAGCTAGAATAAATTTGGCTAGATCTTTGTACAGGCAGGCAGACATTTACTTGTTGGATGATCCTCTAAGTGCTGTAAGTGACACTCAGATAGTTTTTAATTTTATCATAATTTACATTCAAAGACTGATTTACTCATATAAATTTCAGGTTGACACACATGTCAGTAAACACTTGTTCGAAGAATGCATGCAAAGATACTTAGCTGGCAAAACAAGAATTTTAGCCACTCATCAGTTACAATATGTGAAAAATGTAGATGCAATTATACTTATAGAACAGGGAAAAGTCACAGTATTCTCCTATTATCAGGATCTATTGAATCAACGACCAGAGTACGCTGAACTTCTAGCAGCGGAAACAGAGACGAACGAGGATAACTCTATAGAGAAGAACACCATGAGAAGACAGTTTTCATCATCCAGTACAAGAGTAAGCTTGTTACATTATTTTTATTATGTACAATTCTATATTGCAGTGGTGCGTAAACTATTTTCATTTCTAACCCCCTATTTTGTGTAAAATTTTGTCGCGACCTCTGGATAGACAGTAGACGTTTTTTTAATCGTCAACGTAGTTAAAGTGAAATTCTTTCTGGAATTTGCGCTTATGTTTCTGCCTTATTAGAGGTCTGAATAAAACACATAATTTTATGAAACAATGGTTTTATTTATGCATATGGGTATAAATATTTTTTTAATGAAAAATACTTTAAAAAAAACTTTACATCATAAGAATTCAATGTGAGGTATGCGCTTGCAAAGAGCTCATGATTGCTTCTATGTTCGGATCTGTATTGGAAATCGCAAGCCGTAAGTCATCCTCTGGATCCAATCGAGATCGATATTTTGTTTTAATGGCAACTAATTTTGAAAAGCCGGTTTCACATAAGTAGGTCGATGCAAACTGAATAAAAATATTGATTGCCTTTTTCTTCAAATCGGCATATTCGTTTCCAATCGATAACCAAAATAAAATTTTTGACAAGTCAGAGACTTAAATTGAATGCGCAGTGTTTCGTCACTTGAAACATCAATTAACTTTTCTTTTTCATTTAAAGGGATATTGGAATTAAAAATATCAAACGAAAATGGATCACAGATCCAACCTAATTCATTATCTGGAAATTTTTCGAACCTTTTCGAAAAGTTTTCTCCCAATTTTATCATATGACGGGAAATGATGTTTTTAAATAACAAGAAATCTATATTATTTTCTTTAGTAAATTCTGAAAAGCACGGGAACATGTCGGTGTTGTTTTTGTTCAATTCTCCTTGCCAAAGTATCAGCTTATTCTTAAAAGCTTCAATTTTACTGCTCGATGTTAAAATGTTTATACTCTCTCCCTGTAGACTCAAATTCAAATCGTTAAGTTTTTCGAAAATGTCAACCATGTAACTGAGTTTTCCGAGCCAATCTTCATTAATGAACTTGCCAATATATGTTTCTTTTCTACCAAAAAAATGTAAACTTCGTTTTTCAAATCGAAAATACGTCGCAGTATTTTGCCGCGTGAGAGCCATCTGACTTCAGCATGTAGTAATAATGTCTCATACACAGAACTCATCTCATTACAGAGTATTGAAAAGAGATGACTGTTTAGGCTGTGGCTTTTAATGTAATTAATTACAATAACAACATCCTGTAATATCTTGTGCAATTCTTCATCAATGTCTTTTGCAACAAGAGCTTGTCTATGTATCATGCAATGGTTGAATACTATATGGGGAGCAATTTTCATTATTAACCCTCTTAGTCCTTTATTACTATCTGTTACTGTTGCAGCACCATTAGTGCAAACCGCGACACACTGTGTCCAGGTAAGGTCATTTGTTTCAAAATATCTATTAATAATTTCAAATATTTTCTCTCCATTTGTTTTTCCTTCTAATTTTTTACAACATAAAAAATTTGATATGTCTTCTTCAAAAACGTATCTCACATAAACAATTAATTGAGACATTTTAGTAATGTCAGTAATTTCGTCAAGTTGTAGAGTTTTGTATTCGATTTAATAGAATTGATTCTATATTACGTGATATGGCGGAAATTCGGCGAGAAACGGTATCTCTTGAAAATGGTATTGTTTTTAAATCGTTACCATATTTTTCTCCATGCATAATTGATGTCATTTTAATTGCTGAAGGAAGAATGAGTGATTCTCCAATTGTACGTGGTTTCAAATTTTTCCCTATTAAATATGAAACTTCTAAGGATGCCTGTAAAGTCTTCTCAGGAATTGTTGTATATTTTTTCAAAAATACATTTTGATTTTTCATATTTTCATCTCGTTTTTTAAAAAATGTTTCAGATTTATTTGCAAATTCTTTATGTTTCGTTTCCAAATGTCTTTTTAGTTTAGCAGGTTTCATACTTTCATTTGCTAATTTATCCGAGCAATTAACACACAACGGACGTTCTTCCCCATTAACAACGCAAAATGTAAATCCGTATTTAATAAGCTCTTCTTGATATTTTCTCAATTTTTTATTAGATAACACATTTCGTTCGATATTTTTTGAAGTAGAAACAGTGCCACTGGATTCATTTTTGTTTGGCCATTTATCCATTATGAAGGTATTAAAACTAAAACAAAATTATAAATACACAATATTTTTTTGCGTTTTAAAATAGTAACTACTTTGGTAGCGTTTCCAACGAAATATCAGTCGAGGATAAGTGATTTTCGAAAAAACTAAAAAAAAAATATATGCAAAA